TTCAGGCGGCCGCCTGGAAGGGACAGGAGGGCTCAGGGCCGGTGAAGGACCAGGGCAGGGCAGGGCAGGTCAGGCCCCCAGGCAGCCACAGTGGGGCCGTGGGGAGTCCACCAGCCCCGCATCCTCAGAGGCTGCTGGACGGCACCCACGCTGCACCACTGCTTCCACACGAGAGGGGCAGCCTGTCCTCTGCCGTGCGCACAGCAGGACCCAGCCTGCCGCAGGGCACTGGGGGCAGCTGCAGACTCACCTGACACTACGGAGTGGCGGTGCGGGCATATTGGCAGCGGTGCCAGTACTGGAGGGACAGGAAAGAACCAGCCAACTCTGACCTAAGGGAGCTGAGACAGCAGCTTCCTCCCTGAAGGCAGGGAGCACAGTGCAGTCAGAGTGCACCAGGGAGAGAATTTAAAGGTCACAGGAAGGAAGGGAGCTGTGTCCCAGACATGGCATCCTCAAGGTCAAGGTGAGAGTAGAGGTCAGGGTGGGGGCAGAGGCTCCATGTGCCAGGCAGCAGCACTTCAGCCCTGCTTGTGAGGGAGGATGCGGGGCGGCTGCCCTGCCTGAGCAGCCAGGAGAACCTGGTCCCCGTGCCAGCAGCAGGGAGGAAGTTAGCACAGATTCATTCCAATGCAAATGTCAAACCAACCTTGCTCATAAAAAATAGCACTCTGAATGTCAGGGAGGAGTCCCGGCTGCGGCTGTCTGACTTGCTGGGGAGGTTCGCGTGGAGCTCGCTCCTGGGCGTGAGCTGAGGGCCCTTGGAAAGACGTGGACCCTCTGTGGTGTGGGAGATCACACAGGGCAGAGTTAGGCAGAGAAAGCAGTCTAAGTAACACAACTGCAGAGGGAAAGGGAGCCCCAAATTCTGAACTACTACACCCCCACACTCAGCCCCACCATAACCAGCTCAGATCCAGTGGCCTGGGCCAGGGGGCTTTGTCCCCAGATGATATCTCTCAGAGGGTGTTGTGCTGGTGGAACCAACCAGGGAGGGCAGGTAGGAGGGCCCCAGAAAGAGTGGTTCAGCAGGAGTATCACTCTCTTTCCCATCGCTGGAGCAAAATGCCTGATACCTGCAACTTAACAAGAAGTTTATTTTGTTTTTTGTATGTGTGTGTGTTTTTGAGACAGGGTCTCGCTATGCCGTTCAGGCTGGCCTTGAGCTCACTTTGTAGCCCAGGCTGGTCTCAAACTCACAACAATCCTCCTGCCTCAGCCTCCCAAGTGCTGGAATTGCAGGCGTACTCCACCACGCCTTGCTAAGAAGTTTACTGTGGCTTCTAGGTTTTTAGAGGGTGCAGTCCATGGTTGCCTGGCTCCCAGGCATACTGCCATGGCAGAGGGGGATGGCAGACAGGAAGCAACGAGAGAAGGGAGGAGCTGAAGACAAGAACACACCCTCTAGGCCACAGCCCCAGGGACCCGCCTCTTCTGACCAGGCCCCTCCTCCTGACAGCACCCTCAGCTCTGAGCTCATCAGTGGGTCATCAGCTTTGCAGGGCCGTTCTAGATCTAAACCATAATGTAGGGCGTGGGCCAAGGGGTTCAGAGGAGTGCTGGGCAAGGAGTAAGGGGCGAGGGTAGCCCAGTCACAGAGAGAGTAGTGTGCTGCTCCCCTCATCTCTACCCAGTCCAGCAACATGGTGCTGCAGAAGAGTACCCCACTGTGGGAGCCAGCCTCCTGCCCAGCCCCTCCAGACCTGCGCAAGGTGCTCCCCACAGCACAGGTCTGCAGGTGAGTCCCCCAGCCCCCAACCCTTCTGGCTTGGGGACCTGAGCTTCAGCAGGAGGAGTGGAAGGAGGCTGCTCTGTGAGCTTCTGGAAGTTAGACCACCTTGCAGGTGAGTGAGCTGCATTTCCAGTGAGGCTGAGGCAGGAGGATTTTTATGAGTTTGAGACCAGTCGGGGAACAGACTAGGGCCCCCTGGTAACCCCAGGGAGGACCCAGGCTGCAGGTGGGTGTTGGGGGTCGGGGAGATAGGCCACCTTGCAAATGCTGCAGCTACAACTTAATACCAGGCTGGCCTTATGCAAAGGTCCTAACTGGACTTGGGCTTCTTGTAGGGGACCCAGCGCAGGACATTCGTTGGCGTAGGTTCAAGGCCTGCTGATGTCTGCTGCTCCAGGGTCTGCCAGACAGAACTCAGAAAAGGGGTCTCCAGCCCTCAAGAGTCCCCAGAGTCCTCCTCCAGCCTGGGGCCCTTGTACAGGACCTGCAGGGTCCAGAAGCGCGCCCCCTCCACACTGCTCACATCCAGGGTGTGAGCTTAGCGACTGCGCTGGGAGGGCTGAGCTGTGAGAACTACCGACGAGCCCTGGCGTCATCTCTCAGGCCAGACCGTCGCCTGTCAGCTCTAGGCCCAGGTCTGAGCTTGTGATCGCTGCAGGTTGCTGTCCAGCACGCCTCTCTAGCAGGCTTCCCGCCCACAGAAGTCCCTCCTCCTGGTAGGTACTGCCATCTGGCGGGCACCCTGGGGACAGTACCCAGCTCCCGCAGATATCCTGGGCATGGGTGGTACGGGGTCACCCATCCCCACAGAGGCCCCGCTGCCAGCCTGGCACTTGGTGGGGCTCAGCATTTGCTCCCTGTGGCCCCTGCAAGGTGACCCTGGGCTTCCCTGGAGACTATCTGGCAGATGCCCCTCCCCACCCACACTGTCAGTTGTTCCCTGCCCCCTGCCCAGACTGTCACACACAACCCTGGGTGCCCTGGTGCCCAAGCACTGGGCAGGAGCCTGCAGATGTCGCCCATCACGAGGGAGCCCCATGGGGCACACACCCAGTGGTCTTGGGAGTGCGGGTCACAGCAGAAAGAGGCAGTGTGTGCAGACCACGCCCTCTGTGGGCACAGCAAGATGTTCACCCCACCTCGCACCTGGGAAGGTGGGTGTCACCAGGGCGGGTCTGAGGATGTCATTGGCTCTCCAGGGAGGGGCCAGAACATCTTCACCAGGGCAGGAGAGATGAGAGGGAACGAGACTTTGGGGGCCGGGGGACAGACAAGTGGGCAGCACAGGGGACAAAAGCTGGGAGGTGCCCGGGGGACAGCGTGGGTCTGCAGTGACCTCTCCTCCAGTGGCCCATAAATGCTCAAGTCCCCTGATGCCCCGAGAAGGGCTCTCTGGGCACCTCGCACAGTACCCGCCTGGCCCAGCCCTTGACCTGGTCAAGGAGCCACTTAATCCCCTCCTACCCACCTGGGAAAGTAACCTCCAGCCCCACAGCTGTTTGAGGGACCCAGGGGATGGCAGGGTTTGGCTTCCTGGGGGACAGAGCTGGCCTAGAGGCCCGGGCAGCACAGCCTGGTTCCTGGGCTCAGACACTCAGCCCTGTCCTCGTCAGAGGCTCCCCCTCCAGACAGTGCCTGTGCGGCCCCAGCTCCTGGGCACGGGATGGAGCAGGGGGCTGTGGGCCTGACCCTGGGGGTTGTGGGCTGTGGCCAGCCTCGGGCCCGGAGCCCCAGGAGGCCTGGGCATGTTGGGGACCACTGCCAGCAAGCATCACCATGAGCCTCGGCAAGACTGGCGAGGCCTGGCCCAAGGAAGCCCTTTGTGTGCTGCTCTGCTCCCAGCTGCCAGCTGGTGCACAGAGTCCAGCCTGAGGCCACACAAGCCCACTGTGCAGAGCCTGAGCCAGGTTGGCCACTGTGGCACATCTTGCTTCCCTTGCTTCCCTCGTAGTAGGCCTTTTGGTTTAACAGGCATGTGAGGCCTGCTTATAATAATTTCATTTCTCTGTCTTCCTGGTAGGAATTTTAGCCAGTGGGACATAACTGAAAGCAGCATGAGTCACTTCAAACCTGTAAACTTAAAGGAAAAGGTATACCCTTTTTCCCCATATCCCCTTTCTTGGGCCTGAAATGGACATGTAATGGCCTGATTCCAGCAGCCATGTTGGACCATGGGGAACTCTGAGGGAGGAAGTCCTGCACAGCAGAGCAACAAGACAAGAAGACCCTAGGTCCCTGGCACCAGAGGGCTGCCACCACCCTAGCCTGGGTGGCCCCTCCACACTTGTAGAGGGTGAGATGGGTATAAGGTCCAGTTGGCTCTTTAAGATTTCTCCGTTTACTGCAGCCAAGGTCTAACCTTACTCTTAATCCTACCAAACCTGCTGGTCACAGGCTGCCTCTGGAGAGGTGTGGGAAGGCTCTTCTCCTCTCCTGGCAGGGAGGAGGGAACACAGGCCACCCAGGACACTGGGGTCCGAGGCCCCCAACTGCAGACTCATCATGACAGCCCTGCTCCTGAGGGCCCTGGCACTGCTAGCCGAGACCAGCACCTTCCTCAAGCCCGTGGCAAACAGACTCCTGAGCTTCCTGCCGCAGGGACAGGGGCATCTGGGCAGCAGGAGGGTCGCTGAGCCCCCAGAGCTGCTCCTCCTGTTGGGCTAGACTCAGGCCCAGGGAACTGGGGGGGGCGGGAGAGGTCAGCGGGCAGGGACAGCAGCTGAGAACATTCCCACACCCAGGACAGCCAGGGCCCAGGCCTCATGGGACCCTCTGGTGGGGAGGCAGATTGGCAAGTGCCCACCTACCCTCCCGTTCAGCCTGCTGGTGCTGCGGACAGCTGGGGAGCAGGCAATGAGGACCCGGCCAGAGCTGGGGTGTGCACAAGGCACAGAGGAGACTCCCAGGCAGGCACCCCAAGGCAGCAGGCCCAGGCAGAGAGCTCTCCCCAGATCCCGCCAACCCCAGCAGGACCCCATTCATGAGAGCCGGGGCATCTACCATTTACTGAGGGGCCTGCCAGCCCAGGACTCCAGAAGCTGGCCTGCCCTTATGTGGGGCTCTGGCGTCCAAGTCCACAGCTAGGACCACCAAGCTGCAGGTGTCATGGGCGGCTCAGAGTTCTGGCCTCCAGGGCCGGGAAAGTGTTTCAGGTGTTCCAAGGCTCATGGCCATTCGAAGGCAGCCCCAGGAAAAGGCCAAGGGCTGGGGACCCATCCCCCACTCCAACGGGCCCTGCCCCCAAAGACAAGGAAGAAAGCACACGAGGTCCAGGTCAAATCACTTGTTTACTAAGTGCACAGGTCCACTGGGCACCTGGACTCGGCCCTGCGGCAGAACTGTCCAGAATGTCCACACAGGTCCCTGCCATGGGCTTCTGCACCCCAAGTCCCCCCACGAACCTGCACCGGCCCATTCTCAGCACAAGCGTCGCCTGTCTGTGCGGAGAAAGTGAGTGTTTCGACTAGTTCATTAGAAAACTAGAGTTCGTTCCCTGGGCATCTATCCCTAGAAGACGGACAATGCGCAAAGTCGAGATCGGTGTGCAGGTGGCAACACATTCACCGAAAGAAAAAGGCCGGGTCCCGATGCCCCGGCGCCTACAGGACGGTGCAGGTGGACGTCAGGACGAAGGCATTACGAAGTATTCTTTGGAGCGTGAACAAAAGTGCAAAGACAGCCAAGGCAACAGCGCAGATGGGGAAGCTGCAGCCACTGTCGCGGCCGGGGACAAGACTGCAATGGGTGGGCACAGGCGTGGGGCGCGGGCACACGGTGTGCCAGGCTGTGCCAGGCAGATGGATGGCATCAAGGGGAGAGCCGGCTCTGAGCGCTTCCATGTGTGACAACCGAGGAGGACCCCCCTGCCTGCGCTCGGCTCCAGCCAGACCCTGGGCCCCTGGGTGGCCCATCCTAGAGGCAGCTCCATGGGCCTGTGCCAGGCAGGGCCAAGGGCAGAGTGATCTCAGGGATCCCGTCAGCATGCATTAAGGCAACAACTTTGGAAAACCCAGTCCAAGATGGATGTGCGGCATTTAGCGATGTGCAGTCCCGCCCAGGAGCCCCAGGGATGCACAGCCTCGGACCCAGGGACCCAGGGACCCAGGGACCCAGGAATTATCCCCTCCTCCCCCACACCTGATGGAGTCAAGTACTGAGGGGATCTCAGGGTGGGCCTGGCCGGACCCAGCACCCTTGGTCAGCCAGGGGAACCCAGGCAAGTGTCCAGGACAGGAGCTTGGCCTGTCCCACCTCGAGTTGGGGTCCCACCTCCAGGGGCCACCTTCCTTCTCTACCCTGTTCCCAGAAGCCCCACCAAGCCACCTCCTCCCAAGGATGCTGCCCTCCCAAGACCACGAAGTTCATGGCCCTCACTGATGCTCACCCTGGCGGGGCTGGAAAGAACCCTTTGGGGTCTGCTACCCGCACACGCTCAATCTCCAACTGGGGAGCAGAGCCAGGGGCTTCTCCCTGAGCCCTCAATTCCATTGCACCACCTCCTTCAGGAAGCCCTCCCTGCTTCTCCCTGGGGCTCAGGAGGAGCAGGTGCCTGGGGGACCAGGAGGACAGCTGACCTGGGACAGCCAAAAAGGCACCCTGGGTGGTGATTGCATCCTGCAGACCCAGTGAGTCCCACACCCCACACACAGCATGGGAACAGCTGACAACTACGTCAGGAACCTGATCCCAAACCGTGCACCCCAGGCCCAGGGGGCCTCACTGGAGCCTCGTCCCCCACTCAGACCCCAGCTGCATCCTGCTGAGAGGCACAGTGCCAAGGCTCACGTCTCCCGCTGCGGTGGTACTGGCAAAGGCCCCTCACTGTGTTTGTTTTAAGAGCTGTGGCAGCAGAGGTGACCGGAGTCCTGCTGGCAGAGTGAGGCTTGGCAGTGTGAGGTCCAAGGCAGATTCCCACGGCCTCCACTCTGTACACTATTTACAGCCAGGCCAGCACGACCTGGAAGAAACCCAGTGCATCCAGCTGAGATGCCTCCCAGCTCCCTTTGCCTTTGGGGAGCTTCTGACAGCAGCTCAGCACGGAGCCCCCCGACCCAGGACAGGGTCCTCCTCACAGTGCCTGAGCACAGGTCAGGCCCAGCTGCAGGGAGAAGGTGATCTCAAATGAATGAGTGCACTAAGCGGCAGGCAGTCTCCCAGGCAGGGACTCAGGTGACTAGAGGGGCTCTTGCCATGTTTAGCAACCCTCCAGGGCTAAGATGGGGTATGAAGCAAGGCCTCCAAGAGGTAAGGTGTCACTACAGTGCCCCCATGGGTCCCACAGGCTGTGGCCAGGACACAGCCTCTGCCATCTGCTCTGCCAGGCCCTGGGGGAGGTGTCCCAACACAGGACACAGGGGTGGGCTCCCTGGGGCTGTGATTTAAGAGAATAGAGAGATGTCAGGTGACAAAATGACAATGGTGGACAGGCAATGCCTGCTTGGAGCAGGGCTTGGGGGATGCGGCTGGGCCACTGGCCAAGGAAGACCCAGGGAGATGGCCAATGCCAAAGGCTAGCCCAGCGCAAGACAGACCTATGCCTGGTAGACACCGAGGCCCCCGACCCCAGCGCCAGCCTCTCTGGGCACTCAGCAGGCCACAAGGAAGAAGGCAGCATGGGACCCTCTGCACTGCTGTCCAGGAGCCCCGGACAGTCGGAACCCCACCTGTGTCCAACATTCTAGAACCATGTGTGTAAAGTCATCAGCTTCTTGGGGCCTAAATCAGGAAGAGCCAAAGAGCAAAGGATCAGAAACAAAGGACAGCCAAGTCCAAGTGGGATCTTGTGTATGTGTGAGGGCGTGCAGGCAGGCATGCACACACCATGGAGGCTGTGTGCCTTGTGTGCACACAGGAGCAAGCATGTGTGAAGGTATGTACCTGCCGTGTGTATGCACTTCTATATACATGTGTGAATGTGTGTACCTGCTCTGTATGGTCTGTGAGCTTGCATGTACACGTGTGAGTGTGCATGTGTATAAGTGTATACCTGCCATGTGTGATCTGCTTGTATGTGCATTCATGAACCGTGCACCTATGCATATGTGCTTTGCACAGGCATGGGTGTGATGTACCTGCCTTGTGTACCTGTGTGCATATGTGTGAGTGTGTGCACATGCGAAAGTGTGTAGCTGTCATGTGTGTGCATGCAGGTGCACTTGAGTGAGATTGTGTGTGTGAAGGTGTATACCTATCATATGTGTGCATAGGTGCCTGTGCATGTGAAAGCGTGTACCTGCTGTGTGTGCACGTGAAAGTGTGCACTGGCCATGTGTGGTCTGTGAGCTTGCATTTGCGTGTGTGGGAGAGTGCATGTGTGTGCCTGGCTGCAGGTGTGTGCCTGGTCACGGGGGACGCTTGCTCTTACAAGGACCTTGGCCAGAAAACCTTTGCCACAGGGTGGCTGCTGGCCCTCAGCCACGCTCAGCCACACACACACAAGTGCTCCCTTCTCACTGAAACCTCCAGCCTCCTACCTGTCACATTTCTCTGAGGGCGGGGACCCCAGGGCAGTGGACAGTTGTGCTGCTCAGGCTGGGTCCAGGGGAACCCAAGAGGGAACTCCCACCCCATCATCTCTCAGAATAGGCCCCAACCACCCTGCTGAGACTCGCGCACTTTGCTCTTCCAAGGGCCTGGAGACAGCATGGTCCCCGGTGCTCCTCTGACGCTGGCTGTCTAGCTGTAACCCCTCTTGCTGCAACCAAAGGAAGACCCTCCTGCCATCCAGCTGGGCTGCCAGGGTTTGGGGGGAGACCACTTGTCTGCCATTCTCACATTGCAGAGTCCCAGGGGGCCCAGGCACTCGCTGGGGATAGGAGGGGAAGCACAAGCCTGAGGGGCCCACGGGACCCAAGTAGACTTCCCTTGGGAGCAAGAGGCCTCTCCTCCAGTTTGGAACCTGAGCAGTCTGAGCCTGGCCTGGGCCTAGGGGGACTGGGCTGGCGGGGGTGGGGGTGGGCACTTGAGCCCTGCCTGTGTCCCCGGAGGGAGCCTCCCTCGGCCACCACTGAGGGCAAAGGATGATCAGACCCCGGGTTCAAGCTGGCCCGGAGGAGAGTGGCGAGAATATGACCACTCATCTGGCCCATGTCATTCACATGCAGTGGCAACCCCAGAAAGGACATCTCTTGCCCCAGAGGGGATCTCAGCCACACAAATGCTGCCTGTGAGAACAGGGTGCTGGGGGGATGCCTCAGTGCAAACACAGGTAGTGGCATCCTGGTAGCAGCCTGGCAGAGATGCTCCACAGTGGCCCCAAGCACCCAGGACCCTCGACGGCCAGGGGCATGTGACCCCACAAGACTGTTTCCAAGGGGGGAAGACAAAGCCCCCGCCTCCTGTCGTCCTCATTGGAGCAGACTTCACACAAGTGGTGTGAGAGGTGGGCCTGACTAGTGTCCAGGCAGGTACTCAGCTGGCTCACACCAGGGAGCTGGCCACTTCAGAAAAGCCTGGCCCCCCTCATTCGATGCCATACCCAGATGACAGCCACCTCAGGCCAGAGGTGGAGGAACAGACCCAGGGCTCAGTCTGCCCCTCAGTGGCTGGGCCTGTGCCCCCCTACAGCTGGCTGTGGAGCAGGCCCAGATGCCAGGAGGACAGAGGTTCCTGCTCCAATTCCCAGAACACCTAGAGGCCTTAGCCAAGGGACCCATCTGTGAAAACGAGCAGCCGGGGTGCAGTCGGGTCCAGCAAAAAGGACCCCCAGACAAGCACGGCAGCTGTCTAGAGCTCAGAGCTGACAGTTTGAAGGGTGTCCCCAGATGGTGACTGCTCCATCCACCTCTGCCTGGGTCTTTTGGGGCATGGGTACAGGCAGGCAAGGAGAGGCCCTGGCTATAGACATCATCTCAGTAGATGAATCTTTCAAAATGCTGGCCACAGGCTGGTGACCAGCACCCAGCCAGAGCATTCAGGAGAGAGGAGAGGTCAAGGGCTGCCCACTGCCCAGACCTTCTGTGGCTAGGATGTTGCTGGCTCCCGCATACCATGTGAGAGCCCAGGCCCAGGGCAGCTGGAGCCCCCAAGGGCCCCTTTGAGACAAGGCAGCAAGCCAAGCCCTACACAGGAGGCTGAGCCTAAGCCAGTCTCAGGGTCACTCTGGCACCCAAGGCCTCACCCCTTCCTCAGCTCCAGGCAAAGGGTCCTGAACTTAGGGCAGCTCCCATCAAAAGACCTGCAGACCCCAAAGAAAGGAGAGGATTCTGGCCAGCAGCTCTTTAGCCAGGCTGCCAGGGGCGAGGGACTCTGCCCAGCTGCACACACACAGCTTGCAGCTGGTGGTGCCTTGCTGGGGACAGTCAGGAGTGGAGGGACAAATGGTCAGGTGCAAGGGTGGTCCATGCCCAGTACTTGCCAGCCTCTCTGAGAGCTACCAACCCAACCGGGGAAGCCCTGGAGTGCTCAAGGCTAGAGACAGGAGGCAGGCTGCTCCCGCCTGCCCGAGTCCCTGGCTGTGTCCCCACCTCACTCTGCCCTTCTCCTGTGCAGGGTGACGGTCCTCAAACAGACTGGGCGAGCTGGCCTTGCTTCACAGGTAGACCTCCAGCCCCAGCTTGGGAAAGAACTGCAAAATGACACTGCAAAAGCCAAAAGCCCTGCGCATCCGTCACCCTCAGGGACCCCGGAAGCCAGGCCCACCAAGGCCCCTCACAGCCCACGTCACCCCAGGAAAAAGCCTGAAGGCTCTGGCCACAACCAGGAGGCAGAGCCGGAGGGCGGCGCAGGCAGGGCTGGCTGCTGTGTGGCCTCACTTTCTGGGCCCGGCCCAGCCCACGTCACCAAAGGGGCCCTCGCCCGTGGCTGAACGTGGTGGGGGCCCACAGGGCGTGCAAAGGTCCGAGTCCGTGTCGGACTCGCCCTCCGCAATGTAGGGCCTGACCTTGGCGCATGGGGCCACAGCCGCATAGCAGCTGCTGAGGGCGTCCAGGTTCTCCTTGGACTGGGAGATGCTGAAGCCGCTGAAGGAGCGCTCCAGCTCCTCGTGGTCCACAGACGGGATGGAGATGGATGTGTCGCTGTCCCGCAGGGCGCCCTCGTGGGGCCTGCAGGCCGGGGCGTCCTCCAGCCGTAGGAACTCCGTGCTGGCCCGGTTGCCCCCGCTGTAGGCGGACAGTGACCGCTCATGTGCGGGCGGAGGCGGGATGCGTACCAGCGAGCTGTGGTCCCCCACGGGGGAGGCGCCATGGCGCTGGTGGCTCTGCTGCTGCCAGGAGGTGGACGGTGGGCACTGGGCCGGGGGCGCGGCTGGGGGTGCTGAGAAGTTCCTCTGGCCGGTGGAGCTGGTGGAGCGAACGATCTTGATGATGCAGCCATGTTTGTCCACATGCTCCCGGCTGTCCTCGGGGCTGTGGTATGGCGGTGCGGGCTCTGGCTCCTTCGCCCCGAAATAGGCCTCCGTCTCAGTCGGGGGGATGCCCATGCGCTGCATGTAGATGTTCACCAGGAAGTCCAGCTTCTTCTCCATGGACAAGACCTACAAGAAGGGCAGCTGTTGGGCTGGGCTTTGAGGAATCCTAACTCAAAGCAGCTCAGCCTTTGGACCTCACAGGCCCCAGGGGCAGACCCCAAGACGAGGGTCTTATATGCTGGGTTTGTTTTGGGTTTTTTTTTGTTTTGTTTTGTTTTCTTTCCGGTACCGGGAATTGGACTCATGACCTTGTGCTTGTTGGGCAGGCGCTGTGCCGCTGAGCTAAATCCCCAGCTCCGCAAAGCTCTTTTACTATTTTTTTTTTTTTTTTGGTGGTACTGGGGATCAAACTCCTGACCTTGTGCTTGCCAAGCAGGCACTTATGCCACTGAGCTATATCCCCAGCCCTATGCTGGCTTCTAAAGCCCTGGCCCAGAGAGCACAGTGCTGGGGCTGGGGAGACAGGCAAGGATGGAGCTGGCGAGCCAGGCCAGACTTCCTGCCAGTTCCAGGGCAGTGACCTGCTCCAAGGACCCACATAAGGCAGGTAAGGCAGGCCTCACAGGTACCCACCCGGGCACAGAGACATGCGGCTCGGCAGATCCAGCCTCTCAGTGCTGCCACCCAAGGGAAATGCCCCAGACAGTAAATCCCGCAGAGTAAAAGTGCCCAGTGAGCGGCCAACACCACACCCTCCCGCCACGCCAGCCCAGGCCCAGGCTCCAAGCCTCTCCCACCTGTTTCTCCACCTTCCCGAGCCGCCCCATCATGCTGGGGTCCTCTGGCAGCTCCGCCTCCGCCGGGCCCTTGGTTCGGTCCTTGTCCGTTATCGCTGGGCCCCGCCCCACGATCTGGTCCACTCTACCGGGAACAGAGACCCGGCCCCGAGGCATGAGTTTGGGAGGGTGGGGCCAGGCCCTGCCGCTGCCTCCTAGGCCACAGCCCACACCCCAGATCTGGGCTCCAGGCCAGCCCAGAGCCCACCAGGGCAGCCAGTGCCAGGAGAAGGGCACCGGGCCTGAGCTCTGGCCCTGCCTCCGGACACCCTGGGGCCGGTTCCTACCACTCCATTCTGTGGGCCTGGCACATTGATGAGGAGTAAAGTAAAGCTGCCCACCCATCTGCCCCATCTGCCCTGCAGGGATCCCTGCCCCACGCAGCCCCCAAGCCCCTCTCTTCCAAACAGAGCCCTAGAGAGGGGCGCGGCGGCATTGGGGTGCTGTGCCCTGCCCCAGAAACCATGCCCCACCTCGGAGCTTTACTCCTACATAATGTGCCACTGAGGCCTGAAGACAGCGGTGCTGATGGGACCACAGAAGCAGGGAGGTGGCGGGGCTGCAGCTCCATGCACAGGAGGAGGAGGGGACACAGAGCTGCCTGGGAAGCCGCCGACACGACCACAGGAGGGGGATGAGCCACTGCGACCGGGTGTGCACGAATGTGAGCGTGCACTGCACACGTGCATGCAAGAGTGCTTCCTACCTATGTTCACACACTTGTGCAGGACGCAGAACCTAGCGAGCTGACCTCAGAGAAGGCTGGGGCCACCAGTGCCAGTGAGAAGGAAAGGAAGGCTGGGAGAACAGAGCACGCCTGTTACCCAGCTGCTCGGGAGGCTGAGGCAGGAGGATCACAAGTTCAGGGCCAGCCTGGTAACTCAGTGAGAGCCTATCTCAGAGCTTAAAAAGGGCTGGGGATGTTGAACCCAGTAGTAGAGTGGCTCTGGGTTCAACCCCCAGCCAGGAAATTAAACGAAGACAAGAAGGAAGTTCTTTGTCCTAAGGGCACAGAGCCCCTGCCAGAGCAGCGGGCAGGTCATGTGGCCAGGGAGGGCCGCTGCAGGGCCGGCAGAGTCACAGTGGGGGTGTGGGCTGGAGATAGTGGCTGTGAGGCCACCGCAGGGACGCGAAGACCCTGTGGCTGCTGGAGAGAGGGTGGCTGAGTGGGGGATCCAGACCGGGCCACACAGCCAGGTCTCTGCAGGCTGCAGCCCTGTGCACACTGATCTCCGGCTTTGTGGGAGTTGCCCTTCTACCCCTAGGGGTGGGGGGGTGGGGGTGAGGGATTCCTATTCTCTGTCACACCAAGCAGAACAGGTTCGGGCTAGCGGCAGCCACGGCAGCCTCCTCATGCTCCACCCACGGGGCTCCATGCTGGGCTCATGCACAGCAAGAGGGTAGGGAGGGCCCTCTGGCTCCAAGCAAATGCCGGTGGTGATGGAAGGCACAGGCTCCCCAGAGCTCAAGTGTCCACACAGTCCAGGCACAGATGCGCAGCACCTTCACCCCTGCCACATGACGGGCGCCTGCCTGGTGGGTCTCAATGGGAGTCTCGGCCCAGGACTCAGCCTAGCGCTGCTGCTGGGTGTCCAGAAGAGGGTCTTCAAGGACCTGAGGCCGGCTCCTTCCCTCGGGCTCCAGCTGGGGAACTATGTGCATCTCCTGGCCCTCGATTCCCCTAGGGATAAGTGAGTGGCCAGGCTGTCCCTCCAGGCCCTTCCCATGCAACCCTCTGTGGCCCCTGCTGTGACGGTCTGAGAAGTCTGATGTCCAGCCACCTTCTCCTGGACAGCCCCTTGGGGTGGCCTCCAGGCACTGCTGGGTGGCCCTGCAAGGGAAGGGTCAAACGCAGCCCCACCTGTTCCCTGGGAGCCCTGTCTCCTGGGAAGAGCCACTGGGTGACCCCTTGGCCTCCTGGGCAGCAGCCCTGCCCCTAGGGGGCAGGCAGAGGCCACACCTGCCAGCTCACCAGGCACCATTTACCCCACTGCCCCGTGCTGCCAGCCAGGGCCGGAGCCTGCCCTTCCCCTACCTGCTCTGGGGGCTCTGCTCTTCCTGGCCCGTCAGGCTTGCTGCAGGAAGGGGACAGTTATCTGATGGCCCCAAAAGGCTTGGAAAGTCTGGGTTAACCACTGAAGAGCCTGCTGCACCACTGGCTGTGCCCTGGTCCCCAATTCTGCCCATTAGCTGGTGCCGGTGCTGGGAGTGGGGGTCCTACCATCCTCCTTATCAGCAATACTAATTATGACCTGAGTCGGTGTCCGGGGGACCACGGAGGGCCTCAGCCTTGGGGGGTGCATCTGCAGCTGGGCAAACGATACCTTGGTGGCCACCGATACCTTCTGCTTCCGCCCAAAGCCACCCGGCCTGCAGCTGGGGACCACGAGAACACCCATGCAAAGGATCCTGTGTCCAGAGGACTGCAGGGCCTCGGAAGGGCCCTGCTGAGAAGCCTTCCCCCTAGCAGCGTCACTAGGAAGAGAACACCTGCACGCGCCGCTGTCTGGGAAAGAACGGTGCGAGGGCCGCCGTCATGTGGCCTGGAGCGAAGGGGCTGGCCTTTCACAGACAGGCTGGGAAGAGGTGCTGTGTCCTAACCTAGGTGAGTACTGGGGTGACTCTCTCGGAGGGGCCGTGGGTCCTTTGGTGGGGTACTTCTTGTGCCGGGGAGTTGAAGGGGGTGGGGGGCCCACAATCATATCTATCCTGGCAGCATAAACAAGAAAAGAGACAGCAGCAAAATGTACCGTGAAGCACCTCGAGAGGGAGTGGCTGAAACACACAGAAACGGGGACGACCCAGCTGCACAACAGTGGCTCTCAGCAGGCAGCGGCTGACCCACCCGCTCACCCTGGGCTTGCCAGGCCCTTCCTGAGTGCCAAGCCAAGTGTTCAACCCAGCACTGAGCCCGTGCTGGGCCAGGCCGCAGAGCACTCAGGTGCTCAGGGTGCAGCCAGGGAGGCTGGGAGCACAGTCCCAAGAGGGCGCCAGCAACAGAGCCACCGGACAGTGGCAGCATGCTGACTGAGGGGGCAGCCCATTTTGTCCACTTTCCAGACAGAACAGGGATAGAGGGGAAACGCAGGATGGAAGACCCTGCTGAGCTGGAGGGGTCGTGGGGACAGGCGAGGTGGGCAGGCGTCTCTCTCCCCACTCCCCAAGCCCAGCCTCTGTCCTGCTGGGCTGGCGAGCCCACAGCCCAAGCTCGGGGAGAGACGGCAGACACCCCCTGCCCAGCCCCGGGAGGCCTGAGAGGCCCCTTCCCTGCCCCTGGAGCCAGAGAGGCTCCTGACAGTCTCGTGGCTCCCAACAGGCACCACAACACACGTGTGCGTGTTCTCCTGGTGCGGGCCTGTGTGTGGGGACCAGGCCAGAGCACGGTCACGGACTTGAGTCTATGTGTGTGCACATGCATACACAGCTGCACATGGGGAGTGCACTGTGTGAGTGCATGTGCTCAGGGCCTTACCTGTGTGTGTATGGTACATGCACACCTGATTCTGGAAAGAGCAAGCCAGTGCTCACACAGGAGAGCTAGAGGGATCAGCTACTGCTCTACCCCCTGCACCTTCCGCTTCACCCCAGCAGGACCCACAGGGCCCACAACTTGTGTTCTGGAAGAAGCACTGCAGGAAGCACAACTGCTGCCCAGCAGGGCCCAGCTGTGGCTTCAGCTCTGAATAGAAACACTCCATTCCCAACACACATGCACACACATGTGCACATGTGTACACATACATGTGTATGCATTGATTCCCTTGTGTGCATACACAGCACAGCACACAGGTGCATGTGCACACACCCACACACATCATACGCACATGCATGGACACACATGTGCACACACACATGCACTTACACATATATGTGTGTGCACACATTCAGAGACCCACTCACAAGCACATTAACACACATGTGCATATATGCGTGAGCACACACACACATACACACACTTGCCCGCCACAGTGCAAGTGGGTGGGGAGAGAAGGGAGAGACGAGAAATATTAAAGACACACTGCGTGAAGACACGGCAGAAAGCTGACCAGAAGCCAACACGGGTGGGAGGAGGTCCCAGCCCTGAGCACGGCCCCTGCCCTGCACATCCTCCCCCACAGGCCGGGGTACCACCCTCCCACACCAGCCAGCAGTGGAGAGGGGCTCTTGCCTGGACTGCAGGCTCTTGATGCGTGACAGCATGTCCAGGTGTCCAGCTGAGTACTGCTCAATGACATCCATCACATCATACGGCCGCAGGCTCTCCTTGAACTTCCGCTTGGACACCAGGAACCGCATGACACTGTAGGGGACAAGAGAAGCTCTGAGCTCCAGGCCAGAGACTGTCCAGCCAAAGCCCAGCTGGCCAGACCCAGTGTCCACCAGTTGGTCCCTCCGAGCATCTCTGAGGCAGAAGCCCCGGGAGGAGTAACACCCACAAGATGACTATGCCCCTCACCTGGGTCCCCACTTCCCTGACATCAGCCACTCTCAGGGCTTGGCCCCTCAGACGGACCCTTGTCCACCTGGGCTGGCCAGTGTGGGAGACCTGGCTGTCCACCAACAGACTCCCCTGAGACTGGGAACAGACAGGGGCTGCCCAGCCAGCCCCTCATGGGCTCCTTGCCCTTCTGAAAAGGGAGTTGGCCAGCCACAGAGCTTCCCATGAAGAAGCACTGCAGATCAAGCCTGCCAGGGACCCCAGCATGCCCAGCTCTGCCTTTTCCCAGGGCAGTCGTCCCCTGGCACTGTGGACCCGCAGCAAACAGCCCTGAGGGCTGTCCCACCTCCCCTGAGCCAGGCAGGGCTCCTCACCACACAGCTCTGATGCTGACTTTCAGGCCAGGGGTCAGGTCCTCAGTCACAAACTCGCAGTTACAGCTCTTGTTGTCCTCCACAATGTCCTCTCCGGGGAGACTTGCTTCTGGGTGGAAGGAAGCACAGACCATGAGCAGACACTCCCAGGCGGAGCACGGAGTCTCTGCAGCCCCGGGGAGTGGCCACTGTGAGGGTTTAAAAGAACATCCCTGTGACAAACAAGCAGCTGGACACAGTGACGGCCACCCAACTCAGGATATTGTTCAGCCAAAAAATGACGAGGCAGAGATGATGGCGCAAACACTGGATGCATGCAGCCCCTGAATGGTGCCCCCAGAATGTTTCCTTTTATGTGAATTTTGACTCAAAGAAAAGCAAGACGGGAGACACCCTGCTCCAAGAGGCCACCACAGGTGCCCCATAACCAGGTGCTGACGGCCATCCCCTGGCGGCTGCCTGGCATCAGGGACAGCAGCACTGCACTGGCCTCACCTTCTGAGTTCTGCCGGGACGCGGCGCCCTTGATGCGGAAAGCCTGGCGTGCACGGCTGCGGTCCCCGAAGCTCCAGCTCTTGGGCACCTTGCTTGGACTGTCCTCGAGGCTCTGGTCAGCGCTGGGCGACCGCCGGACCGGCTGGGCCTGGGGAGACCCCTTCCCCTTGGCAGCCACGCCTCGGGGGCTGGAGAAGACACGATCTTTCAAACTGACCTTCTGACTGCTCCCACGAGAACCGACCGACAGACGGGTGGACAGACAGACACACACAGAAAAACAGCAAGAGAAGTCACTCTGGAAATAGCACGGTCCGTGTCTGCTCACGGCCAGTGGTGCCCCACAAGACACGGGGGAGACACAAATCCAAAGAGTAACCAACCAGGCAGGGGCCTCGGAGCAGCTGCTGGGGTGAGTGCAGGGCGGGGACGGAGCAGCCACCCAGGTGCGGCCAGAGCCCGGCCATGCCTGGGAGGTTATGGCCAGACTTGAAGACCACTCCACAAGCACCACAAGGGGCCAAGCCCTCTCCACACCGTCTTGCCAGCCCCTGCAGCGTGACACTGAACACAAGAGCTTGGGCTCTTGCCAAGAACCTTCCATCTGTACCGGTCAGGCCGGCTGCTTTCCTGGCAGTCCGTCTAGCTGCCCGGCCCACCCTGTCTGCACCTCCTGCCCCAGAGCCAGGAGAGGCTAGGGCTGCAGCCAGGGCCTGTCCCGCTGCAGCAGCCTTTCTGACAAGCCCTGGGAGCCGCCTGGCCTCCCACGGGCTGCTGCACAGCGTGGCCCATTGTCATGTGTGACCCTCCCAGGGATGAGTCTGGCTAACAAAACATCCCTGCTTCTGCCGGGACAGTGGGAAGAGGCACCTCAGCTGTCGCAGGCCCTTGCCCCAGACAAGAGGAGGTGGCTACAAGACTATGCTTTCACCCCACGGCTCTTTCCAGCACAGGCTCTGTTTCCTCAGGCTTCCCTTGTCCCTGTGTTTCTTGGTAACATGGAGATGCGGCTGACACCGCAAGCTCACCAGCTCCACTGTCCTCCAGGCAGCAGGACCAAGGAGAGCCTATGGCTCACCCCAAGTCTGTCTGGGAAATCAGGCCTGGGTCTGGCCTGGCTCCTCCCACTTGTGACTCCACCATCACCCCAGAAAGCAGCAGGTGTCTTGAGAACTGGACAGCCACTCACACCAGCCACTCAGGAACCACAGACTTCCCGTGACAGCTTCCAGGCAGGGCCAGAGATCAGTCCCCGAGTCAGAGAGGCCTGGTGGGTCTCAGAAGTCCCTCCAAGAGGAAGTCCCAATGCCCAGTGTCCCTCAGTAAGGTCTCAGACACCCAGCCACCTCCAACACGGCAGCCCCTCCCAGGACCCATAGCTGGAGGGACACATTGAGCAGACAGCGCAGAGGAACACCACAGAGACAGCCACGGTGCTGTCACCCATCCTGGACACAAGGGACAGAGCCAAGTCCTGTCTCCACCGCACCCCAAGGAAGCAGGCAACTTCAGAGACTGTCTGTGCCTACTGGGTCTCTGAAAGAGGGAAAGACCACGATAGAAGCCCATGGGGGCAGTGGTCTGGGCATGGAAGCCTCCTGAGAGGGAGGGTGAGGGACCACATGGTGTTCTGCGTCCCGTGAGCACCAGGGGCAGCAGCATCTGCTTGCTTGGAATGCTGGTGGACGGGAGCCAGGGACACCTTGAGTCCGGGTGATCTTGCTCCCATCCCAGTGGAGACCCTAAACACTGGGGCTGCCTGCTAAGGGCTGTGGTGGCCTTGCCCAGCTCAGGGGGATGCCAGCTTCTGGAATGCCCTGTTTTCCTATGGGCTCCTCCTCCATCACATGACCATTTCAGATGCAAGATCAGGGCCCTCCCAGCCCGTCCTGAGACAGGCTCTAGCACACGTGGGAAACTTTCTAATATCACTCAAGGCCTCACTTCCACTCCTCCATCCTCAGCAATGACAGACAGGAGACAAGGTGAGCCCACCACTTCCTTCTGAAGCACACTGTGCAGTGAACCGGGTTGGCTGGCCTGAATCCCGTCGAAAGGTCGCCTGCTCTTAGAGCTCCTGGGGATGCGTGGCGCTGAGGGTTCACAGTTAGGAAAGGTGCCCACCAGAGGTAATGTCACAGTCCTGCCACGGTCAAATGCTCGGCCACCAGCCCAAGCCTGGCCAAGAAGGCAAGAGCCCCAAGTCTCCAGAGCTGCATGAAGGGGACTGGAAGTGAATTCTGCAAGCCCCTCCAGGAGAGGAGCCCCAAGCAGACTGCCCCTACCTCCTAGCAGGACGTCCTACAGTCTGCCATGATAAGCACTGGCCAGCTGAGCCAGGGCCTCAGACCCATGCGGGGGTCACCTGGGGCCCTGGCAGAGGCAGAGTTGCCAGGAAGCAGCCAGGGCTTTGGCGGTGACTCTGCTGTCCCCAGCTCTAGGGCTCCACTCCCACGGAAGCCTGCAGGGGGAGTCAGTCCTCAGCCAGGCGTCCCTCAGCTGCAGGGCCAGATGGCAGCGTGGCCTTGCAGCTTCCCTTACCTCCAAGCCAAAGACAAAGCAGACACAAGAGGGGCCCTGGAGAGCTTCCCTGCTCGCCCCGGTGAGAGTCTGCGGCAGAGCCACCTCTTGTGTACAGGTCGGGTCGATTTGGCATTTACAAGGGAGGAGCAAGCTCAGGCAGAATAGAGGGGCAGCCTTTCCCCTGCCCATCGCTCTCCCAGGGTGAAATCCAAATGGGGAGGTGCCATGAGATGGGCCTCAGCCTGGCCAGCACGCGAGGGACCAGCTCAGCAATGCAGGGAGCCGGATCTACAGGGAGCTGCCCAGCCCACACTGGGCCAACAACGCCCAGGCAGAGCAAGGGGACATTCCGTAAGAATGCACATGGAGGGCAGAGCTAGGCAGGGCTCTTCCTGATCCACACTCCCATTCCTTTCTAGTCCCCAAGCAGCCTGACATCAGCCCTCTACCCAAGTATTCAGACTGTGGCCAGAAGCACCCTGGACACAGATGCTGGCAAGGCAATCAGGACAGCTGCAGCCAGGGCCCGAGCAGGGAACTTCCCTTTCTGGTGCTGCAGCAGGCTCCCCAACAAGTGCCTGACTCAGAAGACAGGCATCGGAGAGGCCCCGGGGCGGGGCCGACCCTGCAAGCCCCTCTCCTGGCGGAGCAGGGTCCGGAGCATGCACAGATGCAGAGGTCCAGCATGCTGCTGGGCCCCAACTCACAGCATGCACAGGGCCAGGTGAGCTCCCACCCACGGGCGCTGGGCGCGGCCTACCCGTGCTGGACAGCGCTGGGGGGCACTCAGAGGCAGGGCCCCAGAGCAAGCACGACAGAGGCCTCCACACCCAACAGCAGACGGGACGGGCAGGTGTGGTCAAGGTGCAAAGGGTCGGGTGGGGGCCTTCCCGCCATCCTGTTTCCAGTCCGCCCTAAACCAGGCCTGTAAGAGGGGGAGCCACGGCCTCAGGCTTGGGGCTGGGGTGTCTCAGGAGCCCGGCACCCGAGCACACCGCGCTGCCTCCTGTGGTGAGGCGCTGGCTAAGGGTGGCCCTCAGTGCCTAGTAGAGGTGCCAGACTGACCAGCCCTGGAGGAGCCGCTCCCCAAAGGGCAGTGTCCTGTTTCCATAGCAATAAAACGGGGCTCTGGCTGGCGCCCTGCATCAGCAGCAGAAGCAGCAGGGGCACTTTGGTGTGGAGGGAGGAGGCCAGGCCACGAGCGGGCACCGGCCGGCTCATCTGGAACCTCTAGTAAGCAAGGAGGGCGGGAGCGTGCAGCGGGCGTCAGTCCGTGCGAGCGTTGCGTGGTACCTAGAGTGTCCAGGGCAGCATCCACACAGGCACCCTCGGCACGGTCTGCCTTTACTGGAAACGAGGAGAGCACAGTTAGTCCAGGGCTGGGGGCCAGACAGGACCCGCCGGACAGCGGGTGCACTGAGACACCGCCACCAGGTAGGCTGGGCTCACAGTCCCTCGGCTGTGGAGTTTGCGTCCCAGCAAGGACAGCCAGAGGGGATGCACAAAAGTCTTCCACAGCCTGGAAAAGAAAATAGTTTCCTATTTTTGGAGAAAAAGATTCTGTTTTTTTTCCTCCAAAAATACCTTTTCCTTCCAAAGCCAGAGGTGGAGTCCACGTCTTAAAAGATGTATTATTTTTTGCTATATTCATGCCAACAACAACAAAAATAATACATGGGCTAAGACTTTGCAAAGGCTGATTCCGGACAGATACGACCCAGAAGTAACTGCTGTGAAGCATGCACCTTTTAGGAAGAAAACATGTGCAGCTTAACGTTCAAACCAGTCATCAAGGTGTCGCCAAACCAGCCTGTCGCTTGGCTATAAGTGGGCCTCAGTCCACCCAGTGGGTAAAGTCTGCCCCTAACTGGGGGTGGCTAAGGAGAAAGCTCGGGGTGCCTGGACTGAAGAGGACTCTTGCCAGAGCCAGCCCATCGCAGTCTTGGTGAGGCCACTTTCACGCCCGGCCTTGAGAAAAGAGTCGGCAATGCTGCTGCCCCAGAACCTCACCAGAGGTTTGACCCCAGACCTCACCTGGAGGTCTGATTCTGCATTAGGTCATGTATGTTTTAAATACAAATAAAAACAGTAAGCAGCAATACAAAAACCCATCACTTCCCTCCAGTCCTTCCCAGCCCTTTTTGCAGCCAGTTCCTCTGGGGCAGCATTTCTCAAACTGCACCCAACGAACCCACTGTGTACAACGGACCCTGAATCCAGCTCCAGGAAGGACAGGTTCAGTGTTCTGTGTCCTTCACACGTTTGTTTGCTTTTGTTTTGTTTTGTTTTTTTGTCTTTTTGGGACAGGGTCTTAGTAGGCAGTTCAGGCTGGCCTTGAGCTCACTTTGTAGCCCAGGCTGGTCTCGAACTTGCAACGATCCTCCTGCCTCAGCCTCCCGAGTGCTGGGATTACTGGTGTGTGCCACCATGCCAGGCCACACGTTTGTTTAAAAACTCAGGCTCCTTGCTACACGTTCTCCACAGAGCTCCCCACTTAGGCACAAAGGACACACTGTGCAGAATATTTGGTGAATGAGCAGGGCTGTTCCTGGAGACCACTCTGCTGCCCGGGAGCCCTGGGCTCTCATCCCTGGGTACACGCAGGTTGCGGCCCAGCTCCACACGGGGTTTGCTTTTGTAGCAGATAAACAGGCTCCCCAGGCACTTTGGGGAAACAGGACTAAGTAAAGCTGGGCCAGATGAGCTGGCTTAACTCAGTGGAGCCGCCACTGGCCAAGCCCCAGGGATCTGGCCCCTGGGGCAGCCACAGTGATCAGCAGCTCCAGCTGTCCCCGGAAACCCTGCCTAACTTTACCCCAGCTGCACCAGACCTGCTGAGCTAGTAGAGACTCAGCTCTCAGGGCTTCAGGCTTGAACACAGAACCATGGGCTTTCAGGGGTCCTCACCACCACCCCCTGAAGAAGGATGAAGGAGGTCTTTGGTTCGCAGCACCCGTAAAGATCCCCAGTTTTGACCCCAGCAATGTCACTGCACCCCAGGAACCCCTCCTGGAATCCTGAAGCCCAATTCTACGATGGAGGATGGCTGGACAGCTGCACTGTCGGGCCCAGGGCTGCTGACCGAGGGCCCCTCACTTTCTAACTGAGCACCAACCGCCCCAAACAACCCCACTGCTTGGCGGGTGCCCAAGACCCCCGACTCAAGCCAGCAGGACCATCAGTGTCCATTCCCTGGGGCTTGAAGCAGACACCAGGTCTTTTCCCATCCCCATCAGCCAGGCAGACCTCAAGGCCCCAGGAAGGAGCCTGCAAGCCCACGGGGGCTTCTTCCATGGGGGACAGAGATGCCCACAGACACTGACCAAGACCAGACAGGACAGACGGGCACCAAACACGCACATGCCTCCCCTGCACACAGGAGGCCCACAGGCCGGAGGGCGAAGCTAGGCGGGGCTCCTCCAGGCATAGGAGGGGCAGTGAGGAGGGGGGAGGGACTACAGAGGACAGGTCAGAGCAGTCGAGGCCACAGGAGACACACCGGAGCAGCGCTGGAGCCCCGCCCCTGCCCCAGCTGCCCACCCCAGACACCTGTGCAGGCCTCCAAAAGACTCGAGCCCAGTCACATGGGTCCTGCTGGAGCTGAGGATTCCAGCCAGCTGGGGGCTGGCCACCTTGTGCCCATGTCCTGAGCCAGGACCCGGAGCATCTGCAGCAGCTGAGAGAGGGTCCCTGCGTCCACACCACCCACCTGCCCACGATGGATGATGCCAGCTGGAACCATGCCAGGGTAAGGCAGGGCTCTGCATTCAAAGACAGGCAGAGACTCGGCCACCAGCTCCCACTAGACTGACTGAGACTTGGGGCCAGCAGGGGCCCTAGGGAGATAAACACCCCTTAACACTGCAGAGTAGGCCTCCCACTGGGCAGCCCAGGGACAGGTCCACCTGCTACTTGTTACCTAGGTAAAAGAGCAATGTCCTGCACACCTGCTATGTGCTAGGTGTTAAAGAGGGGCTGTGGCTGCCCCAGGAAGGGGGACAGAGACACCACCCTCTATCACCTGGCCAGCAGGTGTGTGCTAGGGGACAGGTGGGTGGTCCTCCTTGACAGAAACAGCCCCTAGAGCCCCTCCCAAGGGAGGAGGCCCGAATCAGCTGCCCCAGCTGAGCACCTCACCCCAGAGCATCCCAGAAGGGCCAGCCTGGTGGACACTGGCCCTCCGGGAAGGGCGTGGGAGGCACAGGCAGGAAGGGACCACCAACACGCCACGCGGGGAAGACAAAGGAGTGGCGGGGACAGGGAGCAGGGGAGCCACGGAACATACCAGAGAGCTGGGGGCTCCCGTGGGTCCTCACCTTGAGTCCTGCTTTCAGGGTCAGCACCTCATCCCAAAAGACAGAGCAGACGAGAAAGGGGCCCGAGAAGGGCAGTGACAGTGATTAAAAGCACTTGGGGGCAGCAAGATTTTCCAAATGGGGGCAGGAGAGGGAGAGAGAGAGAGAGAAAGGCTGAGAAAGAATCGCGCGGAGGAGGCTAAAGCTACGGCAACAAGCTGGAGAAACCCCAAGGGCCAGGAGCAGGGAAAACTGCTCCAGGAGGGTGGGGCGCTGGGTGGGCAGCAGAGGGGGCGGAGAGGCCCCCAGCCCCACCAAGCAGATCGGAGCTGGGCCCCAGTGGCCCTGACCAAGGGGCACAGGGCTGCTCCGTTAGGCCACTGCCGCACTGGGCAAGGGGAGGGCAGCCACACTGGTGGTGACAGTGAGAATGGGTGGCCCCTCTTTATGGGAGGCCCCCACAGTGAGGCTGAGGACCCCATTCCCCTTTCGCCCCAACCAGGGCCAGGTGGGGCTGGCGCTCTCCTTTGCCCATTGGTCACCGGCAACACGAGGTCACACACTGGCCAGCACTGCCATGGGCTGTTCCACCTCTCTAGCTCCAAAGTTAGTTTTCTCATCCTCTTTGAGGGGTTTTCAGCCATTGGTTGTTCAGCTGATTTTGGGCTGAGACGTTGCCAATAGTTTCAGTAATAGCTCCAGCTATTGTTACCCTTTCATGGGATTTCATGAGTGAAAGGTCAAGTCCTTCTCAGACGGACGGACGATGGGCTCTGCCCAGCTCTCTTTCCCCGCCTGGCCATGTGGGTCACCCTATAGTCCAGGAGCCATGAGGGAGGCAGGCAGGCGTCCGAGTCAGACGCGAGGTCTGGTGTCAGAGTTACTCTGCAACATGTGGACAGGGTGCTGGGCTGGGCTGGAGGGATACATCCTCACTCAGAGGATCTCAGGAGCTTAGCAAGGATGCTTGGGGGCTGCAGCACATTAGACTGGACGGTTGTGAAATGATCTCTATTTTCTTTCCAGCACTAGGGGAACAGCAGCTGGCTCCTTGGCCTTCCCTCCTGCAGCAGCGCTGGCCCTATGAGCCCATCTAACTTGCCTGAGCACACAGCACCTCAGGGCCAGCAGATGGCAGGGAAAGGACCAAGCTAAGGCCCCCATGGCCCCTCAGCTAGCCTTGACCTCAGCAAGGGGGACAGGGTGACGTCAGAGTCTCCACCAGGGACTGGGGAGAGGGCGTCCTACTCCCAAGGACAGGTGACTCTCACTCGGCCTCACTCAAGAGACTGAAGGCCCCTCCACGGGCATCCGGCCCTTCCGGCCCAGCCCAGAGTGGCAGGAGGGCCCACCCGCTAGGAATTTTCACCTACGGACTCAGCTCACACTAGCTGCACATCTAGTGGAAATCCCCGGCCTCAGCATCTCCTGGGAGGTTGGAGACTCGGGTAGGAAGGGGTGCACCCAGGAAGCCCCCAGCTGCCCAGACCCACAGTGCTGCAGAGTGAGTCCAAAGCCCTGGGAGGATGTCGTGGACACAGCCACACGCTCACACACGGAAGCGCACACGGGGCCCACACGGCAGCCCTCGCCTCACAACTTGCAGTGCACACACAGAGGGAGCAGGACCGGAGGGTGTGCACGCGGCAGACACGCCAAGGCAGCTGGAGGCAGGAGGGACTGACCTGGGCGACGGCTCCGGCTGAGGCTCCTTCCTTCAAACAGAGAGACAAGAATGTCAGCACCACCTGCCTGCGGGACAGGCCCCACACAGCACCTCCCTCAGTGCCCACCCAGGGTCCGCCCCCGCCCCGGACCCCTTGCCCTGGGTCTCCACATCCTCTTGGTGGGGACTCCGGGAAGGCTGAGCACCTGTCCTGCTGAAGGTCCTTCAGGCCCAAGGACACAATCCCAGAGGCAGGAGGGGCTCCCAAAGGGAGCCACTTGCCTTCTGACCTCTTGTCTTCACTTCACAGAGTAGGCCTCCCACTGGGCCTGTACTGACGGACGCTCGTTTTGATCAGTGCCACGCCAGCAGAGCACAGTTTTGTAAAGGAAGTGTTTGCTAAAGAAACAAATTCTGAATGGAATTTTTCTTTTCTGTGTAATTTTCCAGTGGCAGATTGACTTAGCCAACAACCCTGCCGCAATCTGCAAGCCAAAGCTCAACCCAGGGCCAGGGCTATGCCCAGGGATCATTCTGCTTGCAAGGTCGCTTCAGCCTCCGTCTGTTTAATCTGGGTTGGTTCTGGGGGAGGGAGTGGATTATTTCTGCAGGTAATATTCTCCATAAGCTGAACACAAGCTCTGTGCCATAGGTCTTACTCGTGAAGCCAGGCAGCCTGGGAGTGACGGGCCCCGGCTGGCAGCTGCAGGACGGAAAGGACTCTTCCGCCAATCTCCAGACACTGTGCACAACACGTGTCACACCATGACCTCAGCAGAGCCAAGTGACAGCAGAAGAAGAGGGCCCAGCCCCTCCATGCGTGGCCTGGGGCCCACCTTGGCTCTCCTTTCTACCACCAGGAGTGGCCCACCTCGAAGAGGGGCCGGTCCAGGCGTGCGGCATGCAGCCTGCCATCCTCTGCGGCAGCATCAGTGCCCAGCCGTGCTCAGCCCTGGGGCTTAGTTCGCCCAGCGTCAGCGTCAGCAGCACTGGCTTCCTGCAGTTGCTGCACGTTACCACAAACTTGGGGAATCTAACAACAGCAATTCACTCTCCCATAAACCTCCAGTCAGTGTGGGAAAGGGCTGTGTTCCCTCCAGTGAGACAGAGGCGGCCTTCCTGCCGCTTCTAGTTCTGGAGGCTGTACCGTTCCTTGATCCGGGGCTCATCTCTTCCATCTTCCCAGGAAGCTCTGTTCCGTGTCCCGTGTCTCCTCCGCTCCTTTAGAAGGACAGCAGCCCCAGAGCTGCGGCTCACGGGCAATCAGGATGACTGCATCTCAAGACCTTTAACTCACTACCTCCAGAGCCCTTTTCCGAATAAGGTCACGTTCACAAGTTCTGAGGCATGGACATATTTGGGGGGGCCAGCATGCAAGCCCCATGCTCTCTAAAATTTATTTCCACCTTGCATCCGCAGTACATTCACCTATCCCAATATCCCCCAAAATCTCAACCCACTGTGGCATTCAAACTTCCATCTAAACACTGTCGGCTCAAAAAGTCCCAAATATCATCTTAAATCTTCTAAATAATTTAAATCAGGTGTGGAGGAGGCTCTGGGTAGCCATCCTGGGGCAAATGCATGTGGACAAGTGATCTCAAAACAAGTTATCTGCTTAAAAACTGCAATGGTAGGGCAACATAAAAAGTCACAGCCATCCAAAAAGGAAGCTGTAACACAGGGATGCCTGGCCACCCAAGCTTGAAACCCAACAAGCAAATCCCACTTGGTTTCAAGCTCTGGGAGTAGTTGGTGGCTCCTGGCTCCATCGGCCTCCACCTCTGTGAGCTCTCCCCTGCATGTACCATCCCAGCAGTACTCTGGCCTTTCCTTTTGTCCACACTGGCGGCCTTCCTGTTCCAAGAGCCTCGTGACTGTGTCACAGAGGTCAGCACCGTCCGACAGCAGGGTGCTCTGCGCATCCTTCCGGACAACTCATCTTTATTCTTGGCTTCTGCTGAGGCGGCTGACTGCATCCATGAGTCACACACCCGTGTGTCTCTCTCCTCTCAGACAATACCGGCTTCCTCTGTGGTGTCTTCACTTTCTCCTGGGCCTTCAGAAGCCCCTCAGCACCTACGTCACCAACCTTCTACTCAGGCAGGGCGAATGTGTTAGAGCGTGAACCCCAAACTCTTTCAGCCCGGCTCATTACTCAGTTCCAAGTTCCCTTCTGCGTGTTTTGGTATCATTAAAGCAGCACCCCATTTCCCAGAGTCACAGTCTGTATCCGCTTGCCGGAGCTGCTGTAACCAAATGCCATGACAGGGTCAGCCCTCGCGGGAGGGGACCCTCCCTTGTCTTCCCAGCTTCCTGTGGCTCCAGATGCCTCTCGGCCTGTGGCTGCCATCACTCCCGCCTCTGCCTCGCTGCACTTGGTCTTCTCCCCTGAGTGTTTGTCTCCTAACTTCCCTCTTTTCGCAGGACCCAGCAACCAGATTTGGGGCTCTTTGGAAACCTGCAGTGTGGAGTGGATGCCGAAGGTCTTGCTCACAGGCCGAAGAACCTGTTTTTGAGAGGCAGCAGCCACCATCCAACCCACTGCAAACCCTCCGCCCTGCAAGGCCTCTTGGAGAGAGTCTGGGGACCACACCCTCTCTCCATTCTCTTGCCGACAGCAGCCCCACATGCCCACCTCTGTGCCAGCCCAAGCACTGTGGAGTTGCAGAACTTGTAATTAAAGGAGGTCCTCTGGGGAGGGTCAGGCTTGGGACCCTCCCTTCCACCTGGGGCCCCCAGGGTACAAGCCAAGGTCAGCTGGCCCCATATTGAGCACAGTCCTCACCCCTCTTCTTCCTGCTGTTCCCAGGGACCAGCTGTCCCTGTGGAAGTAGGAGCCTAGACTGGGTCAGCACAAGAAAGGGAAACCACCAGCATTGCCAAGACCTGTGTGGCCAAGAACATCCCTAATGCTCCCTGGAGTTCCAGCCTCTCTTTGGGGCCAGGACCCAAGACTTCTTGCCCCTGACTGAGGTAGCTGGGGTTCCCGAGGAGGACAGAAATGCCCATCCTACCCCAAAACTGCAGCCCCAGCTTGGGCGACCCTACGGCTGACCTGAAGGTGAGTCCAGACTTGCTCTTGAGGTTCCGCAGCAGCTCCAGCTGGTTGAGCGGTGGGATGAGTCTGGGGCAAGAGAAGGAGAGGTGAGCGAGCCTCCCGGACGCCAGCCCTGGGAGGGGAGCAGGGCCCGCAGTGTCAGCGTGCACGTCACCCCGGAGAAAGCGGCAAAGGCCCAGGGTAGGGCATGGGTGCAGCCTGACCTCTGTGGCGACGGCCCACTGGGGGCCCTGGACAGGATGTCCTCACCCTGCAGGCCCTGGGGCCATTTTCCCTGTCTGGCTGCTCCTAGGACCTCAGTCCCTGGATGGGGCAAGTCCTGGCACAGGCAGCTGAGGAAGCTCACACTGCCCATGTGCGCCGCCCCTGCAGGGGGGGGTGGTCAGGAGACCTGAGCCAGGTGGGGATCCCCTCTTCTCCTTGTGACCTCTGAATACCCTGGAGAGCACAGCTGCATGCACTACACCCCAACACATCAGGGCCCAGACCCCCAGCTTCCTCTGTGGAGCCACCTTCCCCACCAAGCTGGGGTGGGACAAGGGGCCAAGGTCACAGCCTCATCAGGCCCAGGCACCCCAGGGACCCTCGGCAAAGGCCTGGCTCTGCTCCCCTCTCCTGGACCTGTGCACCCACCCCCAGCAGCCTCATGCTGGGCCCCACCTGTGCTGATGTGGCCACGCACAGGTCCGAGGGCAGCATCAGGGGTCAGCAGCCTCCAGCAAGGTGAGACCTCCACCTCTTCACCCCACCTACACTAGCAGCCTCCCTCTCCCGAGGCCCCTCCTCTCCCTCCTCACTGCTGCCTGCCCTCTCACTCATTCCCATCCAGTCTCAGGGGACAAGTCCTTCATAGAGAATGGTGACCCCTCAACTGCGCTGACCCCAGGCCTGGGCACTCTAGCCCAACCCAGCCCTGCCCCGCCCCTCCCTGTGCATCCCGGCTGTGCGGAGCCCCACTCAGCTCTCAGCCTCCTGACTCCTGACCACCGGACTGCAAGCCACCCCAACCCAGCTCCTGTCCACCGTCCACCCTGCTTGCCCTAGCTGCAGAGCACACCTCCCGTGTCTGTGCCTGGCGGCTTGGGGGCAGTTCACCTTGCCCAGCCTGACTCTCCATGTGACCCCCACCTCTCTGCCTGACTCTCCATGTGACCCCCACCTCTCTACCTGCATAGTCCCTCTCGTCTCTCTGGCCCATCTCCTACCCCACTCGATCCTCTCTCCTGCTCACTCCAGAGCTCCCCTGATCCCACTGGGCCTATGAGCTGTGCTCCACGGCCACCCCTGCTCCTCCACCCAGGAGGTTCCTCCACACACCGGCGCTGGCCCACAGCCCTTGCTGCCCTGCCTGCCCACACTGCTCCTGCCTCTGGTGTCCCCAGCAGGTGTTTACACTGGGGTGCACTGTGGCTCCTCAGCTACACTGGCCCTCCTCAGCCCACCCCACTCCCACCCCTGCAGCCCCAGCAGAGCCAGGTCCCAGGAGCTCAGAAGGAAGCACTGTAGAGGGGCTTCTCCCACCCTCCCCGTCCCACCCGGCCAGGTGTCAGCGCTCAGCAGGGCCCAGCAGTCAGGTTAGTCAGCAGCTCCCAGGCCACCCCAACACCCACAGGGACACAACTGTCCCTCCTGCCTCAACTCCCACTCCTGGGGCCCACAGCAGGGGTCCCAGGGCAAGGCAGCTCCCCCCACCCCCTCCCAGACCCAGGTTAGAGATGAGACATCAGCCCTCCGAGCCAGACGAGACGTCATGCCTGGGACATAGAGCAGCGCCGGGGCAGGCACAGGAGCAGGTGAGGGAGGGCGCACACCCAGCCTGGGCCCGCCATTAGAGGACAGGGGTGCAACACGCCAGGGGAAGGGGAGGGGGCAAGGTCCCAGGAAGGAGCACTGGCTGGTTTGGGGGTTCCGCCAGCTCCAGGGAACAGCTCGACACCTAGGTGCTCTACAGATGTTGGGGTGTCTGATTTCTGCGTGTAGCGCTGGCTGGAGAAGATAGGCAGAGGGAATCAGCTGGAGTCAAGGAGCTTGTGCTGGGAGTCCCAGGGCCCAGCAGGAGGACCCAGCTCCCAGGGCCACCTTCACCTCTGGGGTCTGCAGGGAGCGTGTGGGACAGAGATGCCCTGGCCCTGACCAGCCACTGTCGGCCACAGTGGTGGTGCCCACGTAGGCCCCACTCCTAACAGTGTAGCAGGGCAGGGCACTGCGTGCTGAAAGGGACAGGGCCTACTGGGCAAGGCTGGAGCTAGCCACTGTCCTGCACAGGACCACCTACTCCTGGGAAGTGGGGAAGGGGCCCCTGCACTGTGCAAGGCGGGACTTTCTGAGGGGTTCAGCAGCCCCTGCAGAGCAAAGAACCGAGTCACCCTTTTCCAGCAGCAGCCAGAAGCACAGGAAAGAAAGGCCACCAGCACAGCCACATTGGCCCCACTCACAGGGAGGCCATGTGTAGCTCTGCTCTGGGGCTTGGAGTCTGCAAGTCACAAGGCAGGGCGTGGGCAGAGGGACCCGAGGTGAGGGACCGCACAGGCGCCCTCAGGTGGGAGCTGACCTCACTGGCGGGAATGCCTGTCTGGCATGAGCACTTGGCCCACAACACAGGTCCCCAAGCAATGTGGTGAGGCCCACACCCCACTCTGCTCTGTTCCTAAATGGGGCTGGGGGCTGGGGGCAGACCGGGGTGGGTGGGGGACCACAGCTGAAGACGAGACATAAAGCAGGACAAGGAACAGAAATGACCTGAGGACAAATGGACCTGGCACCAGGGAAGCAGTGGCTGAGGAAGAGGCGAGGAAGACAGGGAGGCGAGGAAGGTTGGCTCTGGGCCCAGGGGGCGGGGGGGCACAGTTGGCAGGGAGCTCCAGGCAGGGGACGGACACAGGGCGACAGGTCTGACGATGGCCAGCATGAGGACCACTGGGGTAGGGGACGGCTCCGCGGGCAGCTGGTGGTGGGCTCGGAGAGCTCATCCCGGAGCAACCAGACAGTACGAGAACCACACACACGGCTGTCCGTCCCATGCATGTCCTACCTGGACGCCCCGTAGGTTTGAGTTTGAGAGCTTTCACGTGTTTTCACGCACACACACACAAAGGGAAAAGAACCAAAATTCCAAAAGGAACGGGAAAAGAAAAACAAAATGAAAAAATAGTCAAGGGAAGTGGGGAAAACAACAGAACAAAGAAAATTAGCACAAGGCTCAGTCCTATCCCAGCCGCCTGGCAAGGGGCAGTGATAGGGCAGCACTAGATGCTGGTTTCCAGAAAGACCAGATGGCCTGGCCCCAGAGCTCAGGATGCCAGAGATGCCAAGGGGTGGGAGCCAGGGGCAGAGGCAGGGCAGGTGCTGCTTTCCAGGTTCACCCCCATGGGCAGCGCAGGTAGAAAGGCCCCAGGCCTGCAGGACCACTGCCAGCATCAGGGTCCTCTGGACAACTGGCAGCTCACAAGGCCCAGGACGAGGTCCCGGGGTCAGGGCAGGATGCTGGGGAGACCCCAGCTTGGCTTCGGCCACTTCAGATCAGAGGGCTGGCTGGCAGCATGATGCCTATCCAGAAGGGCCCCAGGCCTGCAGTACCTGGTCCTGTGGGCTCTGCAGACAGCCCAGTACCTCCCACCTGCAGCCTTCATCCATACACGTGGAGCAGCTGCCAGGCACTCTGCCCAGCTGACCCAGGGGCACACTGCACTACTTCCCGACTGCTGGAGACATTTCCGGGCCGGCACCTGGACGGTTCTGCACTCCGTCCTGCTGGGGCGGGCGCTGTCTCTGCTCAGCTGGGGCTGTGCCTGTCTCTTCCTGTGGCCTGGGTCACTCTCCTCCTCCCACACCTGGGCCCTGGCCCTCACTGGAGGCCAAACTCCCCACTACCCTTGTGAGCTGGAAGTGAGGGCCAGCAGGGGCCTCAGAGCCAGAGGCAGCTCTGCAGGGCACTCAGGCCAGCATGAGTCTGTCCGGGCTGCGGGTGGAGGACATCTCCACTGTGTACCCACACAATGCACCCAGCCAAGGACAGAAGGGCAGGGGATGGAGGTGAGAAACCAAAGCCACGAGCATGAAACGAAGAACAAAATCAATACTTCAAAATAAATCACACACAGAAGTCTTTTTTGAAAAATACTTTAAAAGAAAAAGAGAAACAAAACTCAGCCAACCAAAACAATGAACAACAAAAATGGGGCTCAAGAACAAATGGAAATTGAGAAAGGAAACACGTGCTGGGCGGGCGGCGCGGCGAGGCTGGGCGCGGTACCTGTACATGGGCACCGTGACCGTGCGCTCGTAGTACTGCCAGGTGGAGTGCAGGTCTGTGCGCGACAGGTTGGTGGCGTAGAACCTCCACGCGGACTGCAGGGGGAGAGGCGGGAGGTCAGCGCCACGGCGGTCCCTTTCTGGGGCCCTCACCCCAACGCTCCCTCGCAGCAACAGAACTTCAGCCCCCTGCTCATCCTACCCCACAGCCTCAGTTTACCCTCATGGAGGGGACAGGTGGTACCCCACCCCAAGCTGGTGGGTGGGGGCAGCAGGCCATGTGCTCAGCTCCTGGTCTTGGGGCCACAGCTGTCACTGCAGTTACCTCGCTGCCCGCCCCAATTCCAGGAGGGCGTTTACCCACATCAGTGCAGCCTGGGAGAGGCAGAGTCTGTCCCCTTGCTCCAGGCCTGGGGCCACCAGGGGCTCCTCCCCTTCAAACACAGGACTCTGCACCCAGCCGGGGTCTTGAGCCTGTCATTCAGACTGTTTTCCAGTGGCCTGGACTCCTTTTTGTTCTCCATGCCTTGTGTGTGATGAAACATACATGAAATTACCTTCAGCCACGGCAAAGGGCAGGTTCACTGTGTGGGACCATCACCCCTATTTAACTTCACAACACTCACTGTTTGTTTGTTTGCTTGTTGTGGCGCTGAGTTATACCCCCAGCCCTTCTTTTTTTTCATTATTTCCCGAGACAGGGTCTTGCCAAGCTGCCGAGGCTGACCTTGAACTTGCAATCCTCTTCCTTCAGTCTCCCAAGCAGCTGAGATCAGGTGTAGCCACTATGCCCAGGTAATTCCACTTTTTTTTTTTTTTTTTTTTAACTGCTAGGAATTGAACCCAGGGCCTTTGCACTAAGCTACATCCCCAGCCCTTTCTAAAAAGAAAAAATTTTGAGACAGGGTCTCATTAAGCTGTTCAGGCTGGACTCTAACTTGCTTGGCTGCCTCAGCCTCCCATATAGCTGGGGTTGTGGGTATACACCGCCATACCAGCTAATTCCATGACTTCACCCCTCCCAAGGGACCCTGCATACACATCAGGTCATCACTCCCATTCTGCCCTTCCCTAAACCTGGCAACCACAACTTGCGCTGTCTCTGGGATGCACCTTCTCTGGACATTTCCCATCAGGAGAATCACACGTGTGGCTTTTCCCAGCTGGCTTTGCTCACTGAGCTCACCCACGCTGGAGCGCACCTGGGGCTGCACCTTGTTTAGGACTGAATGATGTGCAGCAGGCTGGATGCACAACACTCTGACTACCCACACATGCACCGAGGGACGCTGGGTGTGTCACTTCTTGGCTCTTGACATCAGTGCTGCTGTGGTCATGTGTGTGAGTCTAGGGATGGGCCGCGTTTTCACACTGGGGGTCTATACCTAGAAGTGGAATTGCTGGGTAAGGTGGTAACTCCAGGTTCAGCTCTCTGAGGAGCACTCAGGTGGTTTTGAGGGACTGCACTGTTACATTCTGCCGGGCACATATCATCGTGCCAACCAGCACACTCACCAACACTTATTTTCCACCTCAAAAAGCAGGAAGGACCCAGGAGACATACGGGCATCTCCTTACATTGACTTGCGTTTCCTTAATCACCAACAAGGAGCATCAGGTCCCCTTCCTCGAGCTAACGGGCCTTTGCCCAACAATCTTTTGGGGTTTTGTCTTTTTGTTGAATTAAGAAGTTTTTTATCCTAAATACCAAAGGATCTAGGATAAAAATCTCTTATCACATAACTGATTTCAGTATTTTCTGCATTTCGCAGGTTGTCTTTTCACACTCTTAAGACGGTCTTTTGACACACAAGTTTTTAATCTTGTGGATACCCAGGTTTCTCTTGCTGCTTGTACTTTGGGTGCCAAGATCTTGGAGCTTATTTTTTTCTACAGAATTTTTTTTAGTTTGACCTTTATTAGACTTTTAGTCTATTTTTAGTTAACTTTTGTATATAGTATGAGGTAAGGGTCATACTTCATTCTTTTCAAACAGGTATCCAGTTGAAAATAGTATTTTCCCCATTGCACAATCTGTAAAAATCCAATTCAATATAGACACATGGGTTTCTTTATGGAGTTTCCACATCATGGATCTTTTTTTTTTTTTTCTTTTTGAGAGAGGGTCTTATGCAGTTCAGGCTGGCCTTGAGCTCACTTTGTAGCCCAGGCTGGTCTCGAACTTGCAATGATCCTCCCGCCTCAGCCTCCCGAGTGCTGGGATTACAGGCATGCGCCACCACGCCCAGCCACGCCATGGATCTTTATGTCTGTCCTTATGTAAAAGCCATACTGTTTTGATGAGTGTTGCTTTGTAGTGAGTTTGAAATCAGAAAGTGTGAGTACTTCAACTTTGTCCTGTCTCAAGATTGCTTTGGCTATTCAGAGTCCACTGCAATCCCATACAAATCTGAAGATCAACTTTTCCATTTCAGCTTTTTAAAAAACCACTGGGCTTATGATACAGTTTATAATGGATCTGTAGATCAGTTTTTGTTAAGACTATATTAACAAGATTAAGTCTCCAATACATGAAGATATCTCTTTTTGTTCATTTAGGTCTTCGTTAATTTCTTTCAACAAAGTTCTACAGTTTTCAGTATACAAAGGCCAAATGCAAAGGCAGTGAGGTCCAGGTTGGCCAGGCACACTAACTTCTGGTAGGATGCAGATAATCCCTCAGATGTCATGAGGTCACAGGGGGCCTAGTATCCCCTCTGGAGCTTCCCCCTGGGTCTTCTCCTTCCAGGAAGCCAGAACCACCCCAAGGTTATGGACCTCTCAGAAAGCAGTACCAGCACTCAAGAGGCTGAGGCAGGAAGACTGCTGCAAGTTCAAAGCCAGCCTAGGCTACGTAGTAGGGCTCTGTCTCAGAGTGGGTGGGGAAGGGGAAGAAGGGGAGACGGGGAGGGAGATTGAAAAAGAGGGGAAGGGAGGGACAGTAGAGAAAAACAATGCTTCTTTTATCCCTTGTGCCCCAGCAGGGCTGCCGGGAAACTTTGGCCCCTGCACCCCGCAGGAAGATCAGCCTCCCTCTGAGGAAGGACCCTCTGATCAGCCATTCTGCTGTGGGTTCCATGGTGACTACTCCTCAGATGCAGAGATGCCTCGAAGCCAGGAGTGAGACACTGCATGTGTCCTAGCGAGGCAGGGCTTCTCAGACACTCACAGGTAAAGTGGAGCTGGTTCTCTGGACAGGCTCCGAGGCTAAAGCTGAGGATGAGCTTGGCGAGGAAAGGCAGGAAGGGTGGAGCAGGGGTTTCTATTCTTACAGCTCGGTTTAACCCTTTTAGCCCTGAGTACAAGCGATCACTTTTGCAGGGGTCAATAGTGGAGATTGTGGAGCATTTTTATTCTTCTCTGTACACTTACTATTACCAAAAATAATCGTTTTGGACTTTTTATGGTAAAGGTAAGTACAGGCTAGACCAAAGGCCAAGACCATGAAAGCTACATCTTTAAAGACAGGACAGCCAGGTGTGGTAACACAAGGCTGTAATCCCAGCACTTAGGAGGCTGAGGCAGGAGGATCACTGTGAGTTGGAGGCCAGCCTGGGCTACACAGTGACCTAAAGGTCAGCCTGGATGACACAGTGAGACCCTGTCTCAAAAAAATAAAATAAAATAAAATAAAACGTAAAAAGACAGGTGAGAGGCAGGGCCACATCCAGCTGGCAGTTCCCTGCTCAGCTTGAGGGCCTGGCAGGAATCTGCTTTTCTGCTCACATGTTCAGGTGCACACTGTTCACCTGCCCTGGATCGGCAAGACAAGCATGCCATGTTCAGGCAGTATGCAGTGTCCTCAGCTCAGGCACTACTAACTTCTTAAGCGAGGACCTCCCAGAGCAACTGCTTCCCAGGGCACCAGGGTGACAGCGACCTACCCAGGAGGAGGCCTCGCTGTGTGGCCTCGGCTGTTGGAACCATTTCTCACCGACAGAGAAGTCAGCTCCCCAGGTGAGCCTCCAGGGACAAGAGCTTCATGCCCAACCACAGAGGGAGACGCCACCCTCGGCCACCATGAGCAGGTACCACTCCTAGACAGGTGGGACTAGCGGGGAGGTGTCAGGACCGACCTGGATCAGGCCCGCTGCTGGGTTCCGCCTCTTCTCAAAGTGCTTCTGCCGATGCTGCTCTTGGACTTTCAGGGCAAAACCAGACCCCAAAATGCCCTGCAAGTCGCCAAGGTCAGACGGCGCAACAGGGACCCACTGTCCTCATTTCATCAGGGTAGCCCGTGCCCAAGACCCACGCCCCTGCCCACCCTCACATGTGCATCCCCTCGATTCTTCCCCACCCAGAGACCAGACTAAGGGACACCCTTGGGTCTGGGGTCACAGAAGCCTCTGGCTTGCAGGAGGCTTGGCAGTGCCCCCACTGAACCCAAAAGGGAACCCTCCTTCTGGATCTGTCCCCACCACACCCCACGCAGCTGCCCTCTGCCTGTGCTGACAGAGAAGGACCAGCAGAGCCCACACCCTTCTGCCTGGGACGAACCTGAGGCCCCACAGAGCCCTGGAAGAGGCGCTGTGTCATCACAGCACTGCTCCTGGTGAGGACCCCGATGCTCAGGGCCAGCTGGCAGGAGGAGCCACAGTGACCAGGAGTGCAGGGGAGAAGCCACAGCCTGAGGCTCCATGGGCAGGCTGCAGCTCAGGGTCACAGGCTCCCAGGTCAGGGCGTCCCAGTCTGGTTCAGGGAAGGGCCTTCCCCAGGGCTGTGGATCTGCAGCAACCCTGCTCCTGGCCTGAGTTATCCCAAGGGGTGGAGGATCCCACGGACAGCTGGAGACCCTGACCCCTCAAGCAGGAAAGGGCCCAGGCGTACCGCAGGAAGAGCGAAGAAGGAGACTCCGATGAGGGTGAAGGTCGCTGCCAGGAGCCTCCCATTCCAGGTCTGAGGGTACTTGTCCCCATAGCCAATGGTCGTCAGGGTGATCTGTGGGGCAGTGGTTGGCCACTTGGCCAGGCTGGCAGTGACTGGCATGGAGGCCCACAGCCTTGGGCCAGACCCTCCTGCTCAGCCCTTGCAGGCTCCTGGAGGGGCTCCTGAACACCCCTGGGGGCAGACAGCCAGCCACGGGGCCTGGACCACACAGGGGCAGGGAATGCTCCCCCATACAGGCCGAGGGAGGCCTGAGTCAGCATCAGCTGCTCTTCAACCCTACAAGCCCGTCAACGCCCCCACAAATCTCCCCTCCATGCAGGGAGGGTTACTGAGGAGGCTCCGATTCCCCTTCACACCTGAGGGCAAACCCACAGCTACAGCGTGCGGGCGCAAGGAGATCCCCCACAGTCCCACACTCTCTAGAGGCATCAGGTGGCCCGGCCCCTGGACTGTGCTTGGAGACTGAGGGAGGTAGGCAGCGAGCGAGTGGCCAGCAAGACAGGGGCCTAAAGGAGCAGGAGATCAGGAGGTACCCAAAGAGAAGCAGGGCCAGTGGACCGGACCAGGGCGGGGGCGGGGCGGAGGGGCGGGGCCTGGAGGTGGGAGGTGCCTCTGGGAGGGGCGGGGCCTGGAGGGAGAGGTTGGAAGGTTGGGGGGGGGCTGGGGGGGGACCTGGAGGAAGGGGCCTGGAGAACCAGGCCAGGGAAGGGCAGAGCTAGGACAAGCCACCTTCCGTGCCTGAGGGACCACAGCAGCACCCTGACGGGGCACCTGAGCATGAGCAGGAGGTGCGATGCCCTTGCAGACAGCTCTGACAGAATTGATAATGGCATGCAGAGCAGGTGCAAATATCCTGCACAGCTCCTGTTGGCCATGACCACGCAGGCCTCCAGCCAGAAGCCCCAGACAGGCACCCAAAACAGGCCCTGGGGGACAAAGTCTTGGGCAGAGGGAGAGGTTGCCCCGCCCAGGGGCCTTTTGTGTGCCCCATACATGCACTGACAGTGGTGCCCTGCAGTGGGAGGCGAGACATGAGCTGGAAGCCCAGGTCAGAGCCGAGGCTCTGCAGAAACAGAGCAGCGAGCAAGGGCAGTGCACCAGTAACCTCCCGGCCACTGGTGACAGGCTCGGGCCAGGACTGTGGGGTGGGACGAGGTGGTGTGGACACGGAGACCAGAAACCCCAGCTGACTCCTGAGCCCTGGGGCCTGGCCCACCCTCAGGCAGGGCTGGGGCGCAAGAAAGGCCAAAGAAGCAGGCACAGGAGTAGCTGGGCAGAGCCGGGGACACTTCACACACCCAGGCTCTGAAACCATTTCTCAGCAGTCATCGGACCTGCTCTCAAGGTGGAGCTCCAGAGAGGGGGCACAGGCGCCAAGCAGGGCAGGGCGTGGAAGGGCCCCACACAGCGGGGTGTGCAGAGCGAGAAGAGGGCTGAGGCGCGTCTCACTCTGTCCCAGGCTGTGAGCGAGCAGTCACAGAGTGGGGCACAGGAAAGCCACAGAGTTGGCTGGAGGGAACTGCAGGGGAGGGCGAGGGGCTGGACCTCAGGGACTGCCATTTGTAAATGCACATAGTATTGCTTTGAAAAGACACAGGTACAAATTTTCATTCACTTTTGAAAGATGAGACAGCTGGGGCCTCCTGGGGGAGGATGGGCCACTTCACCAACGAGAGACTACAGGGTCAGCTGGTCACAGCTCAGGACCCCCAGAGACAAGCCAGCTCCCTGGCAGAGCCCGGATGCCTGTGGATGGTCGGTGGGCTCCAGGTACCTCTGCCCCCAGCCTGAGCTCCGCATGCACTCAACCCTGCCCACCCTGTCCTGCCTCACTCCTGACTGCCCTGGTGGGGACGGAGGACACAGAATTCCAGGCCTCACAGCACAGATGAAATCATTAGTAATCTGCCCTCTGACTTCATCCCCAGGAGAAGCTGGACTCCTCTGCTGATGGAGAAACCCAGGAGAAGCCTGCCCTTCTTCCTGGTAATTGTGGGCGGAGCCCACACAGCCCGCCTGTTCAGGGCCTCCCAAGGGAGCAGACTGTGCCCCACACATCCACCTGCTTGGTGCAGCCAGGGAATCGGAGGAGGAGCTAGGAGTGACCCACCCCGACCTAACTGGTGGGGCCCGGCCCGCTCGGACATCCAACGCTGAACACACGGGGCCTTGCGGATGTGACTCCATCCCCACCCCCACCAGACGGGAGTGTTTCCAGAGATGTCCACCAAGGCCCTTTTCAGAAGAGGCACAAGAAAGGGACCTTCAAGGAGCCTGGACAGAGCCAGGCACGGGGAACCTCAGATGCAAAGGCCAGGGGCAGCTCAGGTGTTGGGCAGCAGCAAAGCCAGGGGGCAGCTGTGAGCAGGGCTGCGGTCTGGGCTCCAGATCTCCAGGAAGCCAGAGGCAGCGTCCCTTTGTACTCCCCTATCCCGACCACAAGGAAGGAATAGGGTGCTGGGCCAAGAGCAGCCAGTCCCAGTGGTGGCAGCCTGCCCTGGGGACAGAGGCCCAGATGACCAGCCTGCACCTCCATACGAGCACAGATGCAAGGTCACAGGGGTCAGAACCCCCTGAACCTGGGACCCCTGACAGGTCCCCCACCACTGCTCTCGGTGACCCACTCACAAGCCCAGGCGAACAGGACTCGGAAGGAAGGGCAGCCAGTGGGGAGACAAGCGCCCCCGCCCCGCCACACACCCACCAGCAGTCAGGGCCCAGAGCAGCCTCAGTGGCCACCCACACACACTGCCGTGGCCACAGGCAGCCAGCAGGTGGCTGCCAAGAGACACGTCCAGCCAGCTCGGCCGGAGGGACAGCTGGGTCTCCCCTGCAGGCCTGGAGGGCCGGGTACCGGGAGAGGAAGCAAACAGAAAAGCCAGTGACGCAACCGTCCCCCAGACGAGGACTCACCAGGCCCCACCAGAGTGCATCTGCGTAGGTGTCGAAGTGGTCGTTCTCGCCCTTCTCCGCCAAGTACACCAGAAAGGAGGCAAGGATGAGGCAGAGGAAGCCGATGTACCAGGCAGTGACCAGCTCCTGCGAGGCAGACGGGCCACGTCACTGCCACACTCAGGGCAGCCTGGACAGCGTCCAGCCCCGGGGATCTGCATCTCAGGGCCTCGGGGGCTGAGCTTTCCTTTAGGCCAGCAGAAGCTCGGCCCTGATGTGGTCTGTGGGAGGGCTCAGTGCCCACAGGACAGGGAGGGGCAGCTGCCACACTGAGCGTCTGGCCGCGGAGGCCCTTCCGCTGTGCATGCAGACCTGAGAACTGGGTGGCCAGCGACCACCAGCTCAGCATGCCAGTGCCTCCCCAGGTCTCTGGGGCATTGGCCCCAGCAGCCAGCAGGCCTGAGGGTAAAGGAACTGTTGAGACCCTTGGGAGACAGCTCTGGAAAGGGATTCGGGCCTCAGCATGCCAGCACCTCGAGCACCCAGGAAGTGACAGCGCGCACAGCCGGAAGTTCAGCCCCCTGAAGAGGTCCCACGCCTGCCCCAAAGCCATCATGGTCAACAAGCCCACTCAGGGTCCCAGCAGGCAGGAAAGCAGGGAGGAGGCTGTTTGGGCAAATAAGCCACCCACACGCAGGCTGGCTTTACTGCAGAGCCTGGCAGAATTGCGTCTCAGCCACCGAGGGCCTAGGACCCTTTGGTCACAGAATGTGTGTGGCCACGGCCACTCCATGGCTACCCCGGTCAGTAGCTGCCACAAGCCACAGCTTAAACATCCACCAGGCAGGTGATTCAGGTGGTATATTGATCCAGGCCCTCGAAACCAGGAAAGGAGACACCCAACCACAGAGCAGACCAGCTCCACGGAGGGACGCAGGCAACTGGCCCTGCAGAAAAGCTTTCTGGGGAACGATGACAAAGATGGGTCAAATCACAAAGAAATCCCAGAAAGAAAGGGGAGGGGCTCGCTCAAATCCCCCAAACTTGGTCTGGGCTCCTTAGCCTTCGATCCCACCTGGCCAGGACACGTGATAAGCCCAGGGCAGCAGGCAGCCAGGCAGACAGCAGCCCCGGAGCTGGGCCAGGACCTCACGGCCCGGGTCTGCTCACCTTGCTGTGGGCGTAGACCACAGAGCCCAGCAGCTTCCAGGTGCCCCCTCTCCGGTCCATGCGGATCATCCGCAGGATCTGCAGAAACCGCAGGCTGCGGAGTGCGGATGTGGCGAAGACGTTGCCCTGGGAGCCGGCAGCCAGCACAGCAATGGAGGCGATGAGCACCATGATGTCTGCAGGAGACAGCCAGAGCTCAGGCCAGCCAGCCCCCTCCGGGCTGCAGGACGGGGCGGACATCCCCTTCTCCCCCAGCCGGGGCACAGGCAGGGGGGGCAGAAGGATGGGGGGGACATCCCCTTCTCCCCCACCCGGGGCACAGGCAGGGGCGCCAGAGTCCAGCAAAGTGCCCAGAAAGGACAGATACTTCGGCCCACCCTGACCTGCACCTCCTCCCTCACCTGGCATCTAGGCCACATTAGCACAGCTCCAACCCAAGTCAGACGTGAGCAGAAACTTCCAGAAGGACCTGGCCTGCATCTGGCTCAGCCTGCTGTGGCCAACACAGCTCTAGCTTCTCCAGGCCGCCCATCCCTTCCTGCTCCGCTGACCCCCACCGGCCTCACCAATCACACAGAACGGCTTCCGGGCAAACTTCAGCCGCCCTCGCCAGCCACGGTACCGGCAGCAGCAGCCTGCAGCCCAGATCCGGACAAAGTACTCCACACCAAACACCACGATGGTCACGATTTCCTACAGAGGAGGCCACAGCTGAGGCCACTGTGGGTGGCACAGGCAGCCAAAGCCCCCAGGGGACTGCAGATTTAGCCCTGCGCCTATGGGGCCCCACCTCAAGCCAGCCGAGCAGCAGGGCTCCGGCCCCTCCGGACACACGTCTGGACCCTCTGGGGACCCTGCAGCCACGAGGCGTCTGGGCCCACAGTGGGGTCTCCCCCGTGAGAAGGCAGGAGTCTGCCCATCCAGGCTAGGGCAGAGGGCCTTGTCCAGTCTGCTGATCCCCACTAAGGAGGGTTCCAGGTTCGGTACGGGGAGCTCAGCTGCTACCCAGAACTCAGGCAGAGGAGCAGGTGGGCGGGGATGTGCGCTTTCAGGCCACCCCCGCTACCAAGAGCAACGCAGAAATGACACTTCTGTTGCCATGGCGCCCACCCCTTCCCCATCACAGGACTGCTGTAATCATCACAGCCCCTCAGCAGCGCACGCCCACGCCGCTCTGCTGGGGACACCCCACAACTCTGCGGGGAAGGCACCACCGGGGTCCTCAGGCTCCAGAGAGAATGGGGGGTGTGGGAAGAGCGCACAGTAGACACTGACACCCATCCCAGGGCTGGGGGCGGGGAGGGCGGGGACCAGAGTCAGGGGGACCCCACGGCCCTGGCTCCTCCACACATCCCGCCCCGCCCACGCGCCAGGCTCACCAGGATGTAGAGGGCGCCCTCCGAGCTCTTCTCGTACTCCTTGATGGTGGAAAACACAGACAGCACAAGGCAGGAGAAGACCAGGAGGAACCTACAGGGCAGAGGTGGAGAGGGGTCAGCAGCCAGGCACGCCGGACGCTGCCCCCACCCCACCGCACAGAGGAGCAACACAGACCAGAGGCCCCGTGGGCAGCACACAGACCTCACGATCCATGCTGCTGAGACCCCCAGGACTCCAGGGCATCACCCCAGGGACAATCGTGTCACCACATCACGTGGGCATCCCTCCAGGCGTCCCAAGCCCCACTCTGCACCCGTCTGTCTGGTTTCAGCCATGGCCTCGTGTACAGGGAGAGGCCCGAGACTCTCAGAGTAGAAGGGGACACAATGTCTGCCCAACAGTGTCCAAACAAGAAAAGGGGCCAAATCCACAGGGACTGTACCAGAAAGCACTGAATAAGCGTTCATCCTTTCTCCTGATATGCAACCATCTCCTTTCTAGGCTTTTCGGAAGCAGAAAATTTTCTGCTTAGATCCTACACTCAACAAGAATTTCTCAGGTCATCTTCTTTCTAACTTTGCCTTGTCTGCCAGGAAGCTCGAAGTTGTTCTGTTTCTCCTTCCTTGTGAGTTCTGGGGGCTCGTCCCCAACCCCTTAGGTTTTCTGATGTAATTACTACTCTTTACCCTTCTCCTGCCATCTAGAACCTGTCTCTTCCTGACCCACAAAACCCTCCCAGGAGTCTTGCGCCCCTTCCAAGGTCACACAGCCTCCGCTGACCAAAGTGGATGCAGATAATATGATTAACTCCATTCTTACTGCAGCCATGAGACAAGAGCACGTCTCTCCCTTGGGTCCCAGGTGTACGCCTGACAACCAACGTGTCACAGGTGTCGGAGCACAGACTCTCCCAGGAACACAGGCACAAACTCGGACCCCGACAGCCAACAACAGCAGATCCATCCTCGCCCCTCCAGCCCCGTGTGGGGTCCCCTCTCCTGACTGCCCACGGTTGCTCCCCCAGCATGTCAGTGCATCCCCTTCTGCACTTGCTCTGCGCTTGGTAAATTCTTTCATCACCTGGTCCAAAACCTTCAGACACGAATGGGCTCCCCCAGCAGGCTGCAGACCGAGACCCACCCAGAAGCCCAGCTGGGCCATGGCAAGGCGCCTAAGTGGCCAAGGTAAAAAGGGACAGCAGGAGTTGGCACACTCAGCCTCCGGATGGCACATGCTCTCCCCTCCTGGAGCCCAGGACAGCTCGGCAGCTGCAGGTGCGGGAGGGGCCATCAGCAGCCGCTGCACAGAAGGCAGTGGTTCTGGCCCGCCTTGCTTTCTGAAACTGTCCGCCTATAGCAGGGAGGGGCACCTTCAGTGCCCAGTGAGCAAGTGGTCGGCGCGAGACCAGCTCTGGTGAGGAGGCACCCCTGACCCCAAGGCTCTCCTGCAGCCAGTGACTTGGAAGAGCTGGGAGTTGCAGGGAAGGCGCAGAACCCAGAGCCAAGTGCCCACTCCCTCAACCACGCTCCCAGGCCCACATCGGTCCACACCACCAAGCTGCTCTGTGCCCAGCCTGGGACTCCAGAGCACACCCATGAGTCCTGCCTCTGCCGCCCAGGTGCTGAGCTCACGAGCCCACAACCCACGTCAAGCCATTCAGGGCATTAGATACCCTCACGTGGACACTCCTTTGGGCCCCCTGTGCCCCAGCGCTTGTGCCCTGCTCCTCTCTATCCGCTGGCCAGACAGCCCCTCCCCCAACCCCTCTGCCTGTAGTCGGAGTTTGGACCACAAGCACACCAGTCCCTGGGGAGTCACCCCGGCCCAGGCACCTCTTGTCATCAGTGCTACTGATGCTGAGTGGGCTGAGCGTGCCACCCACCGCGGCCCCTGTGCATGGCCCTTTCCTGAAGGGAAGGGAGCAGGGCCAGCCAGCCAGTGTGAGCGACTGTCAGTCTCAGGGCCTTGCTCTGAGCCACCAGGCAAGAGGGTGGATTCAGACCCCTCCAAACCTCTTTCCCACCAGAGAGGCAGAGCAGCAAGCACAGGGAACCTGGCTGCAGATGAAGTCACAAGGAGGAGACAGTGGCGGCAGAGTCCAGAAGAAGCTGAAAGACCCCAAACCCGAGCACCTAGAGCCAGCTGCGCCTGGAGCCCCTTGGACCCCGGGTAACATAAACCCATTCCTCAACACTGTCCTTTGCAAATCAAAGATCTCTGACCTTACCAGGCTGTGACGGGCTAAATGACGGGTGGGTCCTACGCTGAGGGCTCTGACTCACCACGCTACTGCGGTCACTTCCTCCTCGGGCCCCTGGCTCCTCCCTGTGGAGACAAGCCACGCTGAATGGGCCGAGCGGCCTCAGACCACAAGGGAAACACAGAGAAGAGCCCCTCACACCTGCGCCTCTGTCTCCTTGTGAGAGGGCCCTTGGGGCTGCGAGGGTGGCTCAGTAGGGCGCTAGTATTCTGGAGGCCCTGGGTTCCACCTGCAGCACCATGCACAGAGAGTCCCGAGCCAGCACCTCACAGGCACCCAGCATCACTCTGAGTCTGGGAGACCCCAGCTTTACCTCCAGACCCCAAGCCTGGGACCCCTGCCCCAGAGGAGGCTCTTGTGAGGTCCTGAGCCCCCAGATCCAGCCTGTACACCTCCAAACCAGGACGGCAGTGCCAGCAATTCAGGCAGATCACTGGCGTGGTGCCTGACACACAGGCAGCGCTCAGTGTGTGCCCATCCTGTGCTGTTGCTGCAGCCACCTAAGCCCAGCAGACAGCCTTCAGGACCCGAGGCCCACTGCCTGTCCCTGTCCCCTCACCCATCTGCAGGCCCATGCATGGCACTGGTCTCCCCCGGCCTGCCTTGCTCTCCCTTCCTCACCCAAGACTGGCACTATGGAGGATTGTCTGCTTTGGTCACAACCACTGACCTAAATGTCACCAGGTCTGAAGACACAGCAACACCTACACAGGTGCTGGACCCATGGGGCACCACAGCCCAGCCGGCTGACACAAAACTGACCACCACAGGCTGTCAAAGCGCAGGGGCCTCAGACAGGCTGGGCCTGCCAGCTGATTCAGCACTCAGGAGGAAATACCCACTGATGCCCAGGCTGGGGGCAGGGAGGCGGCAGGGAGGAGCCAGGTCTCCTAGCCAGGTCTCCACCCCCCCAGCTCACTGACTGCCTGACCAGCATCTGAGCAGGAGGGCAGGGCGGCCCACTGTGGCTGGCTGATGGGGCAGGCCAGCGAAGACTCTGGGCCCTGCCTGACCTGCGTGCCAGGCAAGCATCCTAGCCAGGGCACAGCACGGGGTTTGTGGGCTCAGGGGTAGAGCCCCAGCAGACCAGGCTGCCTGCGCAGGAGAAGTCCAAGCACAGTGTGTGGAAGCTGCCCAGGGTTGGAGGAGAAACCCTGTCCCGGAGGCAACGCCCGACCCTCGGCCAGCTCCTCAATCCTCCCTGGTGAGGCTCTGGGGAACCTTCCTGGCCACCTCCTCCCGCCTGGCCATAGCAACAGCTGGTCCCAGCCTGCGTTCCGGGCAAGGTCTGCCCACCACCACCAAGAACCTGGGCCCGAGCCCCAGGAGGTCAGCGACTACACAGCCCCACCTGCCGCCCTCCCTGTGTGGGCTGACTCCCAGCCAGATGCACCAGCCAGGGCAACGCCCCTTCCCATCAGTGGCCTGAGGTCAGCTCCAGACAGGGTCCCCGCGCTGCTCAGCTCCTGGGTGGAGGTGCAGGCAGCAAGCAGCAAAGGCTCCGGCAGGGGCTGCTGGCAGACAGAACATGCAAAGAAATGGTCACATTTCAAAACTGCAATTAATTTCCTTTGCTCATTAGCCAATTTATTCAATTAACTGAGCCCTAAAAAAAAAAAAAAGTGCAGACGTCTTGTGTGCCTTCCATGAGTGATTCTGCCTGCCTGGAGCGTGTTCTCCCAAGGAAGGATGGCACCTCCTGGGGCCTGGGCACCAGAAGAGGTACAGGAGGGGCACTGAAGGGTCTTCCACCACAGGAGGGCACCTGCAGAGTAAGGCGGGAGCCAGGTCCCCTCGGCCGGATCCACAAGCTGAGAGTTGGCCTGGCCACAGAGGCCCAAGGGGCAGGGAGTCCCCGGCAGAGTGGCAGCTAAGGGGAAGGCCTGTGGGGGGCCGGAGGCAGGGAACAGGGGTGCCTGTCCAGACTGGAAAACAAGGAAAGTCAGGGACAGTCTCACAGGTTTGAATACTGAGTCCATGGCCTGTGTCCAGAGAGGCCAGCTCCTCACACTCTAAAACATCCCTCAGAGCTAGGAAGAATGGGGCTGAGGTGCCAGGGGACCAGGCCCTCTTAGCCCTGCCCCTAAAGGGCTCAGTCCAGGCATCCAGAACATTTCGGAGCCCCTGGGACAGGGCACACATGATAGGCCATGCAGTACAGAACTACAGCCCTTCCCAGAGCCAGTGACGGAGATGTGTGGAGCTCCAACCCGGCCAGCAAGGCAGCAGGCTTGGGCCCCAACCCAGGAAGGAAGTTTTTGTCCAGTGCAGGGGGAGTCACACCCACACACCAGTGCTAGCAGCCCTGGGGGAGAAGGCAGCACTGGGCTGTAAATCCAGGCTCCTCCCCTGGACACAAAGATTCCTGAGGAGAGGGCAGTGAGTGGTGACCCACGACCCACGTCCACCACACTCAGAGGAAAGAATCGTGGCTCCAGTCAGCATCCGGCACTCACCTACCCAGCCCACAGTGGCATCTGCCACATGCCCCACACCCAAGCCCATTTAGACAAGGGGACCCTGAAGCTCTGAGCCTGGTTCGACTCTGCCATTTCCTGCCCGTCTCCCGCCGCCCTAGCCTCTGGCCTCTTGGTGGGCAGGACAGAGGCCTCAGTGATATGGGACACTTCATGGGATCCAGCCCCGAGCCCCAGGGAGCAAGGTGGGGGACTGTCACCCTCAGACCCTTAGCCCCTTCAGGGGTCAGAGCCTGCTGGGTGTTACTCAGCTGGTGGTCCTCTGAGCCATCCCACCCGTCTTCCTTCCCTAGGGCCAGCTCTCCTCAGCCTGCTGTGCTGAGTTTCAGCTCCTGGCCCACACAGGAACCATG